GATCGTTTCTGTGTCCGCCCATATCGGGATATCTACCTCGTCGGACTACGGGAGATCTTAGATTCGCATACAACGAACGAACGAGTGGAAATAAGATAGGAAGGGGGCAATATGGCGTGGGATCATTTGGATATCGATAAGCCGCATTTGGCTTATATGATCCTGGGTGGTTTCACCGGCCTGTTTATGTTATGCTCGCTTTTCGTCAAGGAGAAGCTCTATATTGGTGAGGCGACGGTGGCCACCCTGTGTGGTATCATCTTCGGGCCTCATGCTGCCAATCTATTTAATCCCCTCGAATGGGGTAATGTCGATAAAATCACCCTCGAATGTTCGCGCATTGTCCTGGTCGTACAATGTTTTGCCGTCGGTGTCGAATTGCCCAAGGCCTACATGGAGCGCCACTGGAAGTCCGTCTTTTTGCTTTTGGTCCCTGTCATGACTTGGGGTTGGTTGGTTACCAGTCTGTTTATTTGGTGGATGGTGCCGCCGCTCGATTGGCTTGAGAGTTTGCTTTGCGCCGCCTGCGTCACGGCCACTGATCCTGTCTTGGCCTCGTCCGTCGTCGGTAAGGGTAAATTCGCCAAGCGGGTTCCCAAGCATTTGCGTGACTTGTTATCTGCCGAGTCCGGCTGTAACGATGGTATGGCCTTTCCGTTCATCTACTTGTCTTTCTACCTTCTACGCTATCGCCCGGACTCGGACAAGGTCGCGCTGGAATGGTTCTGCACCACCATTCTGTACGAGTGTATCGCGGGCGCTATCTTCGGTTTCCTCATCGGTTACTTTGCGCGTCAATCGATCAAGTGGGCCGAGCGCAAGGGGTTGATCGATCGTGAGAGTTTCCTGGTGTTCTACTTCGTTTTGGCGGTGTTCTGCGCTGGTTCTGGTAGTTTACTGGGTATGGACGATCTCCTGATCGGTTTCGCTGCCGGTGTTGGTTTCAGTAATGATGGATGGTTCACGGAGAAGACCGAGGAGTCCCACGTCTCCAACGTTATTGATCTTTTGCTGAACTTGGCCTTCTTTGTTTACTTTGGCTCTGTCATCCCTTGGGAGGACTACAACGCCCCCGACCTTGGCCTCACGCCTTGGCGACTCGTCGTGATTGCGCTTCTGGTCATTTTCTTCCGTCGCATACCGATCATGCTGGCCTTGAAACCGGTAATACCGGACGTCAAAACATGGCGTGAGGCCCTTTTCGCCGGCCACTTCGGTCCCATTGGTGTCGGTGCCGTTTTCGCTTGTATCCTGGCCCGTGCCGAATTGGAAACCGATAGTACGCAGCCGCTGCCTGCTAGCGACCTGTCCAGAATAGGTGAACTCGAGCATCCCGAGTGGGACTCTATTATCAAGCTTATTTGGCCCATCACGACCTTCATTATCATCTCGTCAATTCTGGTTCACGGATCGTCCATCGCCGTGTTCACTTTGGGCAAGCGTATCAACACCATGACGATTACCCTGTCGTATACCCAGGCCAACGAGGAAGGGCCGTCCTGGATGAACCGTCTGCCGCGTGTGCAGTCGTTGGCCAAGGGTTCTATGTCTTTCCGGAAGCCCGAAGAGATGGATGAGTCGTCTAGTGATCAGTATCCTCCGGGTACATTGCCGCCAATTGGTGTTCCGGGTAACTTTTTGCGTCGTGTGCGCGAGGACGACAAGGACAACGAGTCCCCTGGTCCCAAGCCCACTCGGAGACGTAGAAGACGCCACCGCGACTCTAGTGTCGGCGGTCCGATTAGCCAGTCTGCCATCGCCCCTCAACGACGATCTGATCAAGAAGAAGAAGACAAAGAAGAGATGGAAGAACGTGACAGGATTGAACGTGAAGGTTCTCCGCCATCTCGTGAGCGCGATCGCTTTGGCCGTGAACCCGCTATGGAAGTGTATCTCGAAGGCTCTAAGATGATCATGGAAGACGAAGAAGGCAACGTTCTCAGAACGGAGGATGTCAGCCACATGTCTCACGAGGAGCAAGCGAGTCACATCGAGCAGGAACGGCAGAAGCTGGAGCAAGATTTGTCCGGGAAGGTTTCCAAGTCTAAAGAGCAGCAGCACGCCAAGACTGAAGGCGAAGAAGTTCAACACGCGGTTGGCGAGAAGACTGGTCACCCGTTACGGAAGGCTCGTCAGACTCTGGGACGATGGGTTGGTCTAGGCAAGGGCCGTACCCAGGAGCCTGAACCACCTGTCGAAGAGGAAGAGGACGAAGCCGTCGTTGAGGCCAAGAAGAAGGAGAAGAAGGCTGCTGATGAGAAGAAGAAGAAAGAGAAGGGTCGCTCTGCGCACGCATACCAGTTCGGTAATACCATTATTGTCGAAGATGAGGAAGGTGAAGTCATCAAGAAGTACTCTATTCCATCTGCGACAGCCGATGAACCCGACGCTCCCAAGCCTGTCCGTCGTGGATTGACACGCATGGGCACCTGGTTCGGCAAGGAAGACCAGAAACCCGAGTCATCCAAGAATGTGCAGGAGAACAAAAAGGCCAAGGATGACGATTGGCTTGCAGACGATGGTCTCCGTTTCACTGTGAACGACGCTGTCGAGGACAAGGGTATCAGCCACAAGGGCCGCCGCATGAACAAACACGAGTTCATCAAGCAGATTCAGAACCTGGGTCCCAGGGATCGTCACGATATGGTCAAGGAATCTGACGCTCCGGAACAGGTCCAGGATATGGCCGAGGATCAGTTGCATGCTTCGAACCGCCGTGAAAGCCGGAGATCGCAGACCTTCGAGGCCCAAGCCCAAGACATGAAGAAGGCTCAGGAAACTGCTGCTCAGAATAAGGACGATGATGAAGAGTCTGTTGGCACCAGCGATATGGAAGACGAATCGTCTGACGCAGAAGTTCCTGGTGATAACGTAGCCGCTTCGCTTGCACGCTTCACCCGCGGCAGCTCAGCTCAAGAACGGCGCAGCCAACTTGGCGGAGAACAACCCTCTTCTCGCCCTCGCACCCGCCGCGACTCCGAAGACGACGGAACTGAACGTATCCCGCCTTCTCAACTCCGTGAAGCAGCCGGTTTCCCTCTCTCGCCTCGCTCCAAGCCCACCGCAGCAGACGTAGACGACACGGGTGAAACACCCGCCGAACGTCGTCGTCGTCTCGCAGCTCTGGGTGAAATCAAGGACGACTCTGACTCTGACTCCGTCGCTGTCGATGAAGACGATGCATCGGACAGCGAGGAGAATGGTGAGCGCAAGATCCAGTTTGCGGACGGAACTAAGAATGGCTCTGAGAGTGGCAATGGTGGATCGACTTCGAATGGAGAGAGTTCGAGACATCGCCCCACGATTTCTTGGGGTGGTGAGAAAGGTCGAGGGGAGCAGAGTTGATTTCTTGAAGAAAATTAATCTGGATGGAAATAAGACGGGATGAGTTGGCTCTGACGGACTTGCGGTGTGTTGCTTGCCTGCTCAAGCAGCATAGATGCATGCACCTAATGCTGTCTTCTCTACCCTGTCTGGCCAGTCATCCTTGGCTCTCATTGATTAATGAAGGTGAGATGAGATGCGATGAGAAGAGACTTATGCTTGCTCGCTTATACATAATACCAATCCTCCTGCTTAATGTACTTATTTACATGCCCTTTTTTTTTGGTTGACTTTTACTTTGCTATGCTATCGAGTCAGTCAGCTGTCTTGCATGTGTTTCAATAGGCTTGCTTACTTTACTATTGTTGTTGCTTTTTTTTCTTTCTTATTTTATATTTCTTTCTTCGTGTCTCTTTACCTTCGTGTATGTAACTTAGGCTCGATTTTAATTCTTAGACTATGAATTGCGTATTCACTGCTATACTTTATACTTCAAGCTTTAGAGTTTTCGTAGTGAATATATATAGGTCCTCCATTTCATCTCACATAGCATCGATATAGCATATGGTATATGGCATACTGCAACTGTAACTGTAACTGTAACTGCAACTGCAACCAAGACAAATATATTGGTCTACTCAACGGTCTACATAGACCAGGCCCTAATATCTCCTACATCTCTTGAATCAACAGCACAACCGAAAGAGTGCTTCTCTCCAGCTGAAAGCCTCCCCCATTCTGCCCAACCAAACAAAAACGGTTTGACAGATCTCGACCGTTTGCAAACATACGAACGGCTCACATCGACCTATCTACAGTCCGCTGATAGACAAATTGACATGGTCATCAAGCAAAAAGGTCCCTGGATCAATCCCTCATCTCACCTAACGAGGCATTCTGTTTCGCTCCGGACAAGATGTTGGGGCGTTGGGGAGGTTCTGAGAGAATATGCGGGTTGAAAACCGGTCCGTTTTTTGGTCCAGGGACAAGGTATCCGGCCTTGATAGTTTGACCTGTTTTATGGTTTTGCTGTTGTGATGACTTGGTCTTAAAAATTGCGAGAGAGCTTAAGAGTGTACCAAGGGTATCACTGATGGGTCCTCCTTGTGAGACAAGTCCTTGCAGGAAAGACAGTTACATTGGAACCAGATGTCTTGACTAAACCACCATGCTATAGGAATTTGCTGCCATGGAAAAAGAGCGAGGGTTCAAAAACCTCTATTCGTCTCAACAGACTGGCTACATTCCCAGGGCCGGCTGGTATGGGATACCATCCATTATAACCCCAAGGAATCAATCACTGATAAAAAGGCACAAAGTCAACCTTTGCAAGATCCTCCATGGGGACAAGTTCGATAATCCTGACAGTGGCGGCCGCGTTCGGTTTGCACAAGCAAACAAAATAAAACCATGCATAACTTAAAGAGTCCCCTCTGCAGCTTGACGATTTTGAGCTAGAGTCAGTGGTGGTATGGGTGAAGTGGTTGGGATGTTTTTTGTGATTGGGAAGATATAAAGGGACGCGTATATGGATGATCGAACCACTTATATCCGAGGGACACCAACGTCGGGCAAGACCACGATGGCATTATTCTGGGGTGGGATCCTCACTGACATGTGTGGACTTGAGAAGACACTTCCTGCTTTCTCCCTCATCCATTCCACTATAACAGGATATGGCTATGGAGATTGAAAAAGCCGAAGTGACAGAGGTTGAAAAGGCAGCAGAGGTTAGAAATGATGTAAACAAGAGTGATTACGATTTGGGTGAAGTTAAATGCCTCTCTCTTGTCTGAGGCCGGATACTTTGAGTTTCGTCCCCAGGGTCAGAGGTATGGGGATATGAACACCCAATACCATCCAAAGACGTTCTTTTTCTCCCAAAGGAACGTCGCGCTAGAGTCGTTTCGGGAAATATTTGCCATCGCCACCAATCCCCTAATGTTCACACCACCCTCCATGGCTAGTGTTGCAGTGCGACGGCTTGACGAATACTGGGCATCGACTGCAATTGCCCGATACCGCCTCTCTAGAGCCGGTTGTGCTTCCTGGGTTCTATATGGAGAACTCCGGGCATTTTATCCCAAGGGACTAATAGGAAATGGTCTGGCAGACCTCGAATGTTTACAGGCGTACGAGACAATCTCATTTGCACACCAAATCTGACCAGAAACAATTGGCATCATCGTCAAATGGCCAGGAACTTGCTGGAGGTTCGGTTGAAGATGAAAATAGCATGCGAATGAAGAACTTTGTGACTTGTTTGAATGTATTGTCAAGTCACGCATATTTGGCCTTGGGGGGTTCGACCTGTTAGGGTTTTGTCCCAAGTATCTGTATCCGCGACAATGGAGAACAGGAAAAATCACTGATGAGTCCCGCGTTACGAGTCTTATATGCGGAGAAATCAGGGAAACAACATAGTTCCAGAAGGCTAATGGTTTGCTAGAGACTTCATCTTATATAGAATCATAGTAACCAGTGTGCTATGCATCAGTTCCTAACATAAGTTTATTGAAGCTTGTCATAAACTCATGATATACATCCAGCAAAAGTAGGTCATGTGAGAAACCCGATATAGAAAGTAGTCCAACTTAAGTCCCCACCTACAACTACAACCTTTCTCCAACTACAATACCATTAAACACAACAAACATGCCCCGTCCAAAACAAAAAACCAAAGCAAGCCCACTTCACCCACCCCGTCCGATCAATCCAAACTAATCCGATAACAGTCCCAAGACCTCGCCCGCATCCGCAACAATCAGCAACGATGCCGGCAGCGCAGGCGCGACTATGTAACCGAGCTGGAACAGAGAATTGCGGAGTATGAAGATAGTTTTGAGCGGAAAGTTGCGATGTTGCAGGCGAGTATTGATGAGTTGAGAAGGGAGAATGAGAGGTTGAGGGGGTTGGTGGGGGATGGCGGTGCCAGTGGCGAGGGGAGGGGAGCGAAGGAGGGGATTGGTAGTTCGAATACTACTGTTGTTACTGCTACTGCTGCTGGGATTGGGGCTAAGGATGAGACTAATGTCGCTATTCCTGATAAGAGTTCTCGATTAATACCCGTGGGCGATGTAGGTTCGAGCCTTGATGGTCCTGTGGGAGGTACATGTACAGGGACAGAGTCTCCGGCTGGTCCGGAACCAACGCTTTTGCAATCATCCAAGGTAAGCTTACTATTATTTGGCTATGTAACTTGACTTGTATACTTACTATCTATAGTCTTTGCCCGACTTTATCGGAAATCAACTTGATGGCTTAGATATGTCGCAACTTCCTTTCCAATGGAACACAAGCATTCCACCTTCGCCATCTAGTGTGCTCCGCAGTATCTCTACAGATCTCGCAACTCCAAGCCTAAACGACTATCTCCCAAATACGCTCGGAGAATCAACCTACTGCACCCAACCAGACTGGCTCCAATGGCTCTCTACTACTCCTACCGACATAGAACCCACCAACACCGTCCAAGAAACAGATACAACGCTTTGCACCGCCGCCTTTGGACTCGTCATGCGATGCAACAAGCAAAATGCGAGTATCGGGGAGATAGAGGCAAAATTACGTTGCGGGTATAGGAGTGCTGTGTTTCAATGGGAGGGGTGTAGGGTTGAGAATCGGGTTTTGCTAGCTGTGCTTTCTGAGATAGCATAGTTTGTCTCTGTATCTTGGCTATGTACAATGCAAAGCGTGTTTAAGCATTAAGGCTTAATGGCGTAAATCTGGAAAGACCCTGAAACGCTATGTTAGCAAGCTTCTCAACGGCCTGGTATACACAAGACTTACCAGCCCACTCATTAAAATCAATTTTCGAAGAATCAACCTCCGTACTAGTCGAGCAACCACTCGACCCACAGCAAGAACTCGGCTCTAGCGTCTTGTAAACGTTCAGATCGGATTTCGCATCCACAATCAACACATCTATCACCGTCAGCACTCTCCCAACACCAACCAAATCCACGCAAACAAACCTTTGAATCCGGCTTCACTCAACCACCCCTCATACTCCCCCACCAAACTCGCCCCCGCAACACACCCCACATACAACGCCATATCCCCACTAATACTCTCCGGCAACGGCTTCCTAGCCAGGATATCGCTAACAGCGACGCGTCCGCCAGATTTCAATAGCCGGAAGATCTCGCGGAAGACAGATGGTTTGTCGGTTGTAGGGACGAGGTTGATCACGCAGTTGCTGATTATGCAGTCGATTGTGGAGTCGGGGAGGGGGATCGATGTGATTCTGGATTCGAGAAAGGTGGTGTTGGGCAGGTTTGCTTTTTGGGCGTTTGTTGTTGCTAGATCGATCATGTCCTGCATACACATTTCTTTAATATCGGTACTAAGTGGTACAGAGTACAGTATGCGATAAAGGGGAGGGGGCACGTACTCTAGTCATATCAACCCCAATCGCCCTCCCCTTCCCACCCACCTTCTTCGCAGCAAGAAACACATCAATCCCAGCACCACTACCTAAATCAAGAACAGTCTCGCCTTCTTTGACATTCGCTAGTCCAACTGGGTTTCCGCAGCTTAGGCCTAGGTTCGTTTTGTCGGGGAGAGAGGCGAGGTCGTCTGCGGTGTAGCCGAAGGATTTGGCGACGTTTTCTTCTTTGATCTGGGCTTGTTGTTGTGTTGAAGAGGTGTTGCGTTTGGCGATTTCGCCGTAGTGCGATTGGACGAGGTTGTAGGTGTCTGTCATGTTTGCGGTTGTGAGTGTGTAATAGTAGTCCTGTTGTGATAAAGTGTCGTTACTTTGAGGGGTAGAGGAGACTGGCACTTTATATCATATCCCGCTGGTACCGGGGAATTTCCTGCTACACTACAAGCAAGCAACGTAATTGGCAGATACCAATAACTGGTATGTCACCACTTAGGGCAAATGGAAAGTGGTATGTCACCATATACCGTGCATAGTAATGCACTGACATGACCATAATCAGTCAGCATTAATTCTTATCTAAGACGATGAGCTGTTCCAGAAGATGTGGTTGGTGTCGTAGCGGTAAACGATGCTGAGCTGTTCCTGCAGCATGTGTTGTCATGTGACGTTTTATATCAACTCGCTGCCAATGAGGATAGCTGTCAGGAGGGGCTGGATGGAATGACAGTCAACATGTACTGGGAAGAGGGGGTGTTGTACGAGTTGCGTGATGTGTCACAATTGAGGGACGGCGATAGAGTACAGTAATGAATATGGCTATCTAACGAAGACAGAAAGGCATACTCTTGACATGTATACCAAGTAACAGATTAGCATTGAGCATTATATCACAGTAACCAAGCATCCAGTATTCCGCGGTAAATCTAGAATACCAGCCCGAGGTCTATAAATCAAAACAAACAAAATAGGCCATTCATCGTAAAAGGGGTAATAACAAGGCGGATCATATCCTCGTCGTGAGAGCGGACGTAGTAATTAAGGATAGATCATGTAGATAACCAAGATATGTTCTTCCTGAGATTGGCTTGCGATCGTAGTTGAAAAGGAGAATCCACATGCTAGTCGTCTGGAATCATCGTATGTACATTTTAACGGTAATCGCGGTCGCTCCGGTCGTATTCACTGCCAGGACCACGGCGTCCGTCATACTCGCTGCCACCGCGGCGTTCGTGGCGCTATTCAATTAGCACTGATATTTCCAAGGATTTCAAAGGGGAATGGAACATACCTTTCTCAACGCTTCGAGACGCTTCTTCTTGGTGTGGGTGTTGACGTAGGTACCGATAACAAAGCCAACCAGGTTGAAGAAGGGCACCCAGGCGTGCTCGGGAAGGAACTTCTGCGCAAAGGCAAGGGCCAGCGGCGAGGTGATCCAGCTAACCTTCATGACGGGCATGAAACCAGCGCGCACGGTAGCGCGGACCTGGTGGACGTTACGCGCACCGGCGATGTAACCCATGGACGCGAGGTAGACGACGTTTTGGATGGGAGCGACCTGCGGTCTCATTAGCCTTTACTCAAGGAGTATATATGATATGGAATGTGACGCACGATTAGATTGCTAAAGATGATCTGCAAGATCTTAGCCTTCAGGCTGGTACGACCGGCGAAGAGTTTCTGGAGAATGCCGACGAGGAAGTGTCCCAGCGGAGCCGAAACGAACATGCCGTAGAGCGACATCTTGGGCACCCGATGACTGAAGTAGTGGCCGTGTTTGCTGACATCTTGCGCGATCCAGGACGCGAGGAATTCTTGCAGGGCCGAAAGGACACCGGAAGTGAGCATCTTGGTACGGAGGGGGTTCGATTGGAGTTGACGCAGGTAGAGCTATCAAAAATAATATATTAGCAAGTCTTCTTTTCTTTTTCCCTCTGAAAGGACATACTGCAAGATAGCCAATCTGTGTCGGACCGCCAGTCAGGCGCTCACCAACTAGGTGCGCCAACTCCTTGGTCTCCTGGCGCACCGACTGATCCTGGAGCGAGTCCTGGATCTTCTCCTGGACGGCCTCCTGGATCGTATCTTGCAGCTTGACGGACATGGTGCTGGTTCAGAGGTGTGGTGGTTGGGGGTTCGCGTGCGATAACGGAGCTGGTCAGGTCGTCGCGACGACAACACGAGGGCGGACAAGTCAGAGACAGCAGTGTTGGTGAGAAATCAAATGTAATTATGGAGAAACAGTGGGGTTGGTATATAAAAAAGGTAGTATTAAGAATATTCTGTAGCAAAGGGGAGAAGGAGAAGAGAGAGAGAGAGCACGGTTGTTTATTTGTTTCAGCCGACGAACGACGGAGGAGGCTGGGAAAAGGCAATTGGCCTGCCGAGGTCAGCCACTATTTATATACTAACTCCTTCCCCAGACCCACGATGCACGTAAGGAAGTACTTTATAGTATATCAGTACTGCGATTATGCAGAGAAGCTGTTAAAAAAGAAGAAAAGAAGATATAACAGCATTAGTCGGTGAGAGCAGCTGTTTAGCAATCTTCCGTAGTTATACTAGTGTTTCTAGTGTATCGGCCATTGAGTCGGCAGATGCGTTCGGGATCTCCGGGGTAAGGTACGAGGTACATTGGGGTTATGCAATGGAAAAGCTGGATCTGGAGCTAGATTCTGGTTTATAATGGGCCATAATGAGGGGATTCTGATGCTGAACCGAGGTTCGGTGGTGGAGGCGATTTGTATAGTCGGGATACGGAGCACTCCGAGCAGATATATATCGGGCTGGCTGAGACCAGGATAGAGAAAATAATAAAATAAACATAAAATAAACGTGAAGCAGTCAGCAATTGCTATCAGATCGTTAAGATCATATGTTGTAATATACTACAGAGTATCACTAAGAAGTTGCTAGTTATAGGAAAGCAGCCATACTCCAAGTACTGTTATGTAGAGTTATCAACATCCCATTGCTAGACTATGCTACTATTATTTGAACTGTTGCTTATATTCAATAAATGCTTTGTTGTATTCTTTTTAAATTGACAAGGTCTACTAAGCTAAAGCATTGTGCAAACAAATGAACCTCTCTTTCACCCTCCCCCAAAATATCTATACAACTACACTTCTCTTCACTGTCGTGTCGCCGAGAACCCACAACCAGGCAGCTTTCAAATCTTCTTCTTTCTTCTTATCCAAAATGCATTTTCCCTCTCATCTCTGTCTAATCCTAATTCCTATCCTCATGCCTCAACAGCACCATGGCCCAGAGACGCTACTCCAACCCTGTCAGGTACTACAGTGTGCCTCCTACCGCGATCGCACCAGAACCTAACACCCTAATGACCACTGTCACAATGCCCGAACACTCGCCGACCTTTCCTACAATCACGTCGCCCAGACCATCTCCCCCTAAGCAGCCCCAGCGGACATTCATCCTCAACCACCCGCCTCTAGGCGAAACGGAACGGAAGTGCCCACACAATGATTTAACACCAATCGAGGGCGTATCAGAAATATTCCGCTGCGACGAGTGCTGGCAGAAGCCTGAGTTGGGTTGGCTCTGGACCTGCACGCAGGATGTTGTGGGAGAAGATGGACTGATTGATCCGAAGAAGTGCGCGCTTCTAGAACGGAAGGCGTACATGTCTGTTTTGAGTGGTGTGCACGAGGACGATAATGTGAAGATTATGATTAAGCAGAGACTGGCTCTTTTGAGTAGGGAGGAGTTTCATTCGCCTCAGAACGTGGAACAGGGCCAAGCCCAGGACCAAAGGCCTAAGGATGAAGCGTCCATACCGGAACGACAGAAACATGTTCGACAGAAAAGTCAACGCGTGCGATTTGCAGAGGAGAATTCGTACAGATCACCGTCTCCTCCGGTATACCGCGACAAAGAGGAGGATAAGAGTGTGGAAGTGTATCGCAATACCGTCCCAGAGCAGCAAAGCGTTGCGTCGGATGAAGATAACCATGCTGAATACATAGCTTGGTTGAACATGATCACGAATATGAGAAACGAGACGAGTTTTGGACAGCTCAGGCCTGGAGTCAACACCTCGCAACATTCTGCGAACACTGTCCAAGGCGTTCACGCGCAACAGCAGCAAGCTTCCGGCAACACTCAGGTACAGGCCAACGAATCCCAATCGCAAGCTATCGATCGCTCGTATATCACGCGTCTTCGCCGGGAGATGCACAGTTTGGATTACCACGCAGCCATCGCGGACATGCATAAGACATCTCGGGTTTCCCCACAACAGCTTAGGGCCCGCCACCAGCCTGAAGTCTCACGCTCCAAGTCCTTCCGTTCGCATTTTCAACGCTCTCACCAGGGATCACAGAGACGTGATGATGAAAACCAGATCGCCACGCCTGTACCTGTACGTCCGGCATCTCACGACTACAGCAGACAGTACCAAAGTCCCAACCATCACACTGGACGCCATGAGCAGCAACTCAGCACTCATTATCATGGTATCCAAAGTCCGCCTGAAATGTTTCGGGGCAGGGCTTTAAGTCGCTCACACAGCCATCCTGCGCGAGAACAGCCGGGCCACAACACCCGCAAGGTCCCGTTCGTGTTGAAGATCCACGATCCTGAGGAGAACCAGAACTCCACCGTGCAGGTCGCCGCACGCGCCATTGGATACATCCCGAAAGAACGTCTTTCTCCTGAATACCATAGTCCTCCGCCTGCAGCGCCTGAGCAGCCTTCTTACAGGACTACCAAGCCTCTTCCTCCTCCGCCGCCGCCGCCGCCGCCCCGTCGGCCCAGGTTTCTGTTTCCTTGCGGTTATAAGATCTGCTCGACATGTCGGGGCGTGAGGATAAATGAGATACTGCCGGCGACAAGGTACAATCCCGAGGAAGAACTTGCGCGGCCATCGGCAATCGTTTACGATTCGACTCAGCAGTCCGGTATCCCGGAGCAACTTATATTCTTCCGCCCTGATTTCGAAGACCCGAGCAGCGACCCGACGGCGAAAGACGGCATTCTCATGCGAGATGCGCAATACTTTCTAGCACGAGACAACGATCCCGAACTTCGGGGTCTAATCGCGAGTCACATTGTCAATCTGGGACCTAGTCCTGCGCCCGCGGATGAGAACCTGGCTTCTCACATGGAACATCTGGCAGTCGAATCATTGAGCGGGGGAAGCGACAACTCGACGGATGAGAGTGTGGATGCGGTTGGACAGAAATTCATCTAGTTATGGGGATGTTTCGGCGCGGTGGTTTGATGCATGTGAAGATCACTGTTCGTGATTATCAGTTTTGGACAGACAATAATGAACGAAATATGAACATCTTTGACGATATTGACGATGTACGAGTATTGGAAATGATTATAGTCTGTTTTATGTATTATTAGCTTCAAATAGGAAAGCAAAAAAAGTTATCAATGCCAACCTCAACGGCCGTATCCCATTAGCCGTGGGATCAAGCAATTCTACTGCACCATGGCCCGTAGAAATCATTGACCCCCTCATATTGGGGGGGGGGCATGCCATTTTTCACTCTTATATACTCCATTTTGTTGCAATAAAACCACGACAGTGAAGATGATCCCACGCTCTCATTTCGCCGTGTATATTAACCAGCGGGTTCCGCCCTTCCGACTTCCGAGCCTCGGTCTCTGACTGAACGGCTATCAATTATCGCCGATAAATAGGACTTTCTACTCCGGACATCTACCAGACACGCATACACACACAACTACGCCATGGCAGACAACGAGAAACCCCCTGTCGAGCCGACTGAGCAGGTTGAGCAGGCTGAGCAGCAGCCCGATGACAGCGACAAGGCAAGCCCCGCGCCTTCGCAGTGCCAGGTGCCGACAACGCTCCAGGCGACGGATCGTCTCGTTGGACGAATTGATCGGTATGCGCCTACCTCCTGTATTTTTTAAACATAGCAAGCTAAGAAAACAGATTGATATCCACCGCCGCCGGCGAAGAACGAGCCTTCGCAGCAATCAGCTACCTCTCCCACGCCCTACACCACTTCCTCGGCTCTGCGCCAGGAATCGCAATCCAAACCCGCCTAGGCCTCCTCGCGCGTCTGCGAAACCTCACAGAAAAGGCCCCTACCACAACACCAACACCAACACCCACACCCTCATCCTCCCGCCTCCTCGCGCTCTCCTCCCTCTGCTCCGAAACCCGCTACACACTGCGCCTCTTCGGTCTCGTCCCGCTGTGGACCTGGGGCTCGCAAACCCTCAAATCACCCCCCTCAGACCGCCTCATCTACTCCCTTACCCTTCTCCAAGTCATCGCAAACGTCCTCTACCAGTCCCTCGAGAACGTCGGCTACCTGGCCTCCAAGAACATCGTCTCGAAGCGCTTCGTGGACCGCTGGGGCGGGGTCGATAAGTTCTATCTGTGGAGCACGCGCGCGTGGTTCGGGCATATCGTGCTGCAGTTCGTGATGTTGTGGAGACAGCATGTGCTGAGGAAGGCCAAGGCGGCGCTGATGTCGGAGGAGAAGAAGGAGGAGGTGTTGGCGGGGGAGGTTAGGGCGTGGAAGAAGAGTCTTGTGAATAATTTGTTTTGGGCGCCGTTGGCGCTGCATTGGAGTTTTGAGAGGGGGATTGGGGTTCCGGGGAGTGTGACTGGGGCTGGGGGGTTTATGGCAGGTGCTTGGGGGTTTTGGGATCTTTGGGGGTCGACTTTGAGTTGATTGTATATACGTTTCTTAGGTTGTTGTGCTATGTTAATGGGTATTTAGATGGTTGTATTTTATCAAGTATGTAATAAGGGTATGTTTAGAGAAACCACTCGCCGTGATCCTCTTCTATGCATTCCAGCGTCTCAACCTGCCCCGTATAAGACCTAGGCCGTCGTTTGACCGACGGACTCCGCGGTAACACCCCCTCAACACCCATACCTTTACACTGAGACCGCGCAATATGCTCATAAAACGAACCTACCAAAAAATCATCCAACGGCCACGCCACACCCCCAATAGGAACCAACCCCTCCATCGCCCTCTCATCCGCCCAACAAAAAGCCCCCGCCTCCACAGCCCGCACGCTACACAACCCCCCCTCATCCGTCACCCGCTGCTGAATATCCACCTGCACACTAACCAACTTCATCAACCCAGCCTCGAGCTCATAAATCGCATTCCTCTGCTGCTCGTTCAATCCAAAGATAAGCAGTCCTTCAACGGCGGCTTGCGGGTCTGGCGATGGCGCGATCACGGGTGTTCCGGGGTTGGAGAAGCGGTAGAGTTGGTAGCCGAAGAGCGTGGCTTGGGTCATGTTGCAGGTGATGGGAGTTGTTTGGGGCATGTCGGTGAAGTATTTTAGGACGGTGGGGAGCATTAGGGTGTCGTAGACGAAGCGGGGGGAGGTGCCGGGTTGGGTTAGGAGGGTGGTTGTTTGGTCTTCTGTGAGGATGTTGTTTAGTGCTTGGGTGTAGTCTGATGGGTACCATGGTTTGTAGTCCATCCTGCGACCTGGATATTCTAGTTTTGAAATGAGTTCATAAGTAAAGATAGAGGCCTGTATGTGTAGACCAGAGCAATGGTGAGAATGAACCTGCAACAAGGCTCTCTTAAATCAGAAACAGAGGCTTGTTGCCTTATGCCTTTCCTGATAACTCAGTAAAGACGCCATCCTTTCAGGCAAGACATCCTGGAGGCTCAAAGCAGAGGCATGCTGGTCATAGCAGGCATTCACAGCACAGGCAGTCTTTACTCGCATAGGCGGATCCTACGCCGCAAAGCGCAGCATAACATAACAGCCACTCAACCTGTGATGCCTGGAAGCCCACTTGGCAATCTTGACAATCCGTAGATCGTAGATCATATTTTTTTCCCTTGTATGATGTCTCTCTTCACTCTCCTACCCCTGGTAGAGAACAAGATGAATCATATATTAATACGACCGGCTTCCATGGGCTTCTCCGCCAGCGGGCGGTGGCCAGAGACCCGCTGATTAAGTCATCCGGGCCCAGCAAGCGTATCGTCACTGACCATCTCTTAACGGACAGCTCCAACTTCCAACCTCACCACCTTCTTTCCTCTCACACACTTACTCATTATCCTCTCCCCTTCCATCAACGATATCTGGTTCAACTGGACCATCTCTAATCTTCATTTTTTGCTTTTCTGTCTGCATTTCTTGTTCGTTATTCTAGCTGGATCCGCCAGCGTCGTCACAGGTACCTTCTGAGTCTACGTTGCTTTAAGAGCTTGTCAGAGCACCGCCATCCAAGATGACTTCGGAGCCGGATTACACTCACGACAAGAAGAGAGTCAACTTGACGTACGTTTGAGCCGCTTCTCTGACAGAAACCCATAGACGCATATTTGCTAACTGTTTGCCAGTGACCCTTCGGGCGCCGAGCACAGAGAGGTAACCAAAAAGCGACACTTCGAAAGAGAATAGCCACAAGATTCTAACACCATGACCACAGGACGATACCTCGACAGCGATCCTCAAAAAGAAGAAGAAGCCCAATTCGTTGCTGTATGTTCATTCATTTCTCACCGTTGGAAATGGCGCCATGGCTAATCAGAACCCCGCTCTCACAGCGTCACCGATGCCGTCAACGATGATAACTCCGTTATTGCTCTCTCCAACAACACTATGGACACTCTCCAGCTCTTCCGCGGTGACACGGTCTTGGTTAAGGGTAAGATGCGGAAAGACACCGTTCTTATCGTGTTGGCAGACGACGACCTCGATGACGGCAGCGTTCGCATCAACCGTGTCGTGAGACATAACCTCCGTGTTAAGCACGGCGATATCGTCACGGTTCACCCGTGCCCCGACATTAAATATGTACGTCTTCTTTTGTTTGGTTCGAAACGTGCACCGAGAGAGTGATTGCTGACATTTTTTTTTTTTTTTTTTTTTGTGGTTAGGCCAAACGTGTTGCCGTTCTTCCCATTGCAGACACCGTCGAGGGTCTGACCGGTTCTCTTTTCGATGTCTACCTTGCCCCATACTTCCGTGAGGCCTACCGGCCAGTGAAACAGGGAGACCTGTTCACAGTACGTGGTGGTATGAGACAAGTCGAGTTTAAGGTCGTCGAGGTGGATCCCCCAGAGCATGGAATTGTCGCTCAAGATACCGTCATCCACTGCGAGGGTGAGCCAATTCAGCGTGAAGATGAAGAGGGCAACCTCAACGAAGTTGGTTACGACGACATTGGTGGCTGCCGGAAACAGATGGCTCAGATCCGTGAGTTGGTCGAGCTGCCTCTTCGCCATCCTCTCCTGTTCAAGTCTATCGGTATTAAGCCCCCGCGTGGTATCCTCATGTACGGTCCTCCTGGTACCGGTAAGACTTTGATGGCTCGTGCAGTTGCCAACGAGACCGGTGCTTTCTTCTTCCTGATCAACGGTCCCGAGATCATGTCCAAGATGGCTGGTGAATCGGAGTCGAATCTGCGCAAGGCCTTCGAAGAGGCCGAGAAGAACTCTCCCGCCATTATCTTCATTGATGAGATTGACTCTATCGCCCCCAAGCGTGAGAAGACCAACGGAGAGGTCGAGCGCCGTGTCGTTTCTCAGCTTCTGACCCTGATGGACGGTATGAAGGCTCGCTCCAACGTGGTCGTTATGGCTGCCACCAACCGCCCCAACTCTATTGACCCCGCTCTCCGTCGTTTCGGCCGTTTCGACCGTGAGGTTGACATTGGTATCCCCGACCCCACTGGTCGTCTGGAGATCATGTCGATCCACACCAAGAACATGAAGCTTGGCGAGGATGTCGACTTGGAGACCATTGCCGCCGAGACTCACGGTTACGTCGGTTCCGACTTGGCTTCGCTGTGCTCTGAAGCCGCCATGCAACAGATCCGTGAGAAGATGGACTTGATCGACCTCGATGAGGACACAATCGACGCCGAGGTTCTCGACTCCCTTGGTGTCACCATGGAGAACTTCCGCTACGCTCTCGGTGTCTCCAACCCCTCGGCTCTCCGCGAGGTTGCCGTGGTCGAGGTTCCCAACGTCCGCTGGGAGGACATTGGTGGTCTCGAGGAAGTCAAGCGCGAGCTCGTCGAAAGCGTCCAGTACCCTGTGGACCACCCCGAAAAGTTCCACAAGTTCGGTCTTTCGCCTTCTCGTGGTGTGCTGTTCTACGGTCCCCCGGGTACTGGTAAGACCATGCTTGCCAAGGCTGTTGCCAACGAGTGTGCTGCCAACTTCATCTCTGTCAAGGGTCCTGAGCTGCTGAGTATGTGGTTCGGTGAGTCTGAGAGCAACATCCGTGACATCTTCGACAAGGCTCGTGCTGCGGCACCTTGTGTTGTCTTCCTGGATGAGTTGGACTCGATTGCCAAGTCGCGTGGTGGTTCCGTCGGTGATGCTGGTGGTGCATCTGACCGTGTTGTCAACCAGCTCCTGACCGAGATGGACGGTATGACATCGAAGAAGAACGTCTTCGTTATCGGTGCTACCAACCGTCCCGAGCAGCTTGATGCTGCCCTGGTCCGTCCCGGTCGTCTGGACACTCTTGTCTACGTTCCTCTTCCCGACCAGGCTTCTCGTGAGAGCATCATCCGGGCTCAGCTTCGGAAAACCCCTGTCGCACCCGATGTCGACATTGACTTCATTGCCAGCAAGACTCACGGATTCTCTGGTGCTGACATTGGCTTCGTCACCCAGCGTGCTGTCAAGCTTGCTATCAAGGAGTCGATCGCTATTGATATTGAGCGCACGAAGCAACGCGAGGCTGCTGGCGAGGATGTCAACATGGACGAAGAAGAAGAGGCTGAGGACCCTGTGCCAGAGCTTACCCGGGCCCACTTCGAGGAGGCCATGAAGTCTGCACGTAAGTCCGTCAGCGACGTGGAGATCCGCCGGTACGAGGCGTTTGCCCAGAGCATGAAGAACTCTGGTGGCAGCAGCTTCTTCCGCTTCCCATCTGCCGGAGAAGTTGGGGAGAATGAGACATTTGGGGAAGCCGGCAATGACGACAGCCTCTACGATTAATTGGGTCTTGGTAGTTTGATTTAGTTATTTTCATGTTTCCTTACGTTAGTTAGATCTACGTACTATGAATTGTGGACGTTAAATATTTTATGTGATCGAGTACATCTTACGCTCTAATAGCAATGTGACAACAAGTTTTTCGATGCCTTTGATATGAGTAGTAGTATTGCTACCAGTGCAGCGGATGATGGTATCTATCGAGAAAAGAGAAGTGAATGCGCCAAAGTCCTCCCAACTCCAGAATGAATACAGAAAATGAACTCCCCGATCTGGCCCCCGACCTATCCAAAACGCCTGATGACGGTCTCACCCCATGCATGCTTCATAGACAAGAACTCCCTCAATGTAATGCATATACAACCCCATCTCACGTAACCGCAATCACTTGACATTCTTCCCTGGGTTGGGTTTCTTCCCCGTCTTCTTAACGGGACTGGCATCACTGTTCTTGCCCTTGCCCGACGAATCGCCCGAGTCCTCCCTATCCAGCCTCTTCCCAGACGCCCCAGCAAGACTCCCCTTCCCAGTATCAAGCGTATCATCCAGCGCCGACCCATCCTCCCAAACCACCGCATCCTTTAACACCTCCTTAACCATGCGCACGCCATGCTCAACAACGACTGCGGGAATGCGCACATCCACGTTCTCCAAATACGCCTCAGCATCAGCACTAAGCCCCATCCCATTCCCCCCATTGCTAGTATTCCCATTCGCATTCCCCCTCCCATTACTCCCACCCCCATTCTGAGCACTCCCATTCCGACCCGCCCCATTCGAACCCGAAGTCGAAAGATCAAACGCCGGATGCGCCCGACACTCCGCAGACGCAATCACCGCGTCCACAACCTCGTCGAAGCGCTCGCATCGTCCAGCGCGGAGGAGTTCGAGCGAGAGCGTGCGGATTTTCTCGGTCCAGCCCATGCGCTGCAGATAGCAGAGGAGGTTTGTGTGAATGTCGTCGAGGGCAGAGGTGGAGGCGAGGTGGGCGAGGAGGTCGGTTTCGAGGGAGTCGGAGGGGGTGGTTGTTGTTGTTGTTGTTGAAGTGGAGGGGTTTGGGTTTGGGGGGGCTGGGGAGGAGGAGGGCATTTTGTCGGTGGGTTTGGGTTTGGAGGGAGTATTGTGTACAAGTAGAGGGGGTTGGAAGTTGGTGTGGTTGTACTTCGTACTGGTGAAGGTAAGGAGGGGTGAGTGAGGGTGAGGTTGGAGGTTGCGGAGAGATCTGATCGGTTCGTTGCCGGTGCGAGGGCCGGGTTTGGGGTTGGGGTTTTGCTAGGAGTTTTATGAGGGCGAGGGCTATTGAGCTTGTTATTATTGTTATTATAACTAATTCTATTGCTTTGAAATGATTCTGTTAGTTGCAGTTGTGGTGGTAGAATACGCCTTGTACGTAGTATACGAAATGACGCAGAGGACGGCCATAACGATCACAATTATACCTCATCAGTCCTATTCATAGATCCGATTGTCATTCTGATATTGTCTAATCAATATTCAATCTCTCCGTGGAGTATATCCTGTATGTACATCAGCCGATTCAGGGGAAAAAAACCCACTGACAATGTATCCGCCACAGCAAATGGTCCGACACTATTGAATTCTGACAGCAAGCTAGGACTCGTTCTCCAGTGTGTTTGTATTGCTGGTTGACGGATTATCTGTCAAGCAGCGCCAAACTAGCAGTTAATATTTCCCTTAGCCCCGAGACGTGCCCGAGTCTATACAGCCCCATATGCCGGAATAGGAATACGGAGTACGCATTGCCAGATTATGTATAACAAATACTTGTGGACTGGATGATCTCCTGAACGGAAAACGAACCTAATACGAACATGTTGGCGAGGACAAATGGAATGCAGTAGAATTGCTGATGTTTGGCAAAGCATTAATATTGGGGGGAAGTGTACTCTGTAGATAGGCCAGGACTCGGCGGCTATGCTGTTCTTTTTTTATTCTCAGGTTTTTCTACTCCGTATAAAACAAAACAAATAGAATATGCCTCTTGTCTTTTGAATTTCTCCTTCTCTTTCTTTTCTCATTGCCTCTCGAGTCACGTGCAGCGATCTCAACTTCCCAACTGGGACAGTCGCAACCTCAACTTACCTCACCACTTCCCCTTCTCACACACACTCTCTCACTCTCCTTTCGCTCGCCAACCTCGTTCATTAGTTTTGGCGCTTCCTCTGCATCGTCTGCGTCTGTCGTCATTCTTTACTTTGGGTCATCGCTCCACCCTGCTCTGCCAGCGCAGTATTAGATACATCATCTCGCGCCTCTCGCCAGTTCCCCGCCTTCTGCTCTCTCTCCTCCGCGTCCCTCGCAGACCAGCCTCGGTTTCTTGAGATTCTCTAGGTGTCGCTATAAACTCCTTTTTGGACTTCCTTCCTGGCAACACTCCTCCCCGTACTCCGTGCTACCTTCGACTCCGGAACGAACCATTACCCCTCCGTGACTCCGTCCATGCGGCCGTGTCGTGACCTCCATTGCAAATCGACCTGAATACTGCGTCTCCGCCGTATATCTGGCTCCCTTTGTTTGCCCGTCTACGACATCGTATTCTCGACCGAGTCGCCCTCCGCGGTTAGCCTCTGCTGGTCCCGGCCATAGCGCCAACTTGCTCGTTTCTTTTTCTGCGTCCGCTCCGACCACCTACTTACCTCCACGAACCGTTCTCTTGATAACTTTACTCCGGAAGCAAATCGCCATGAACCCTGCCACGATGTCCCTCCAAGCCACCGTCTACCACGACTCCGATGCGGATGATGAGTTCACTCATCCCGCAACAGACTCCGAAGCCGATCACTCAGACTCCGAAGCGCTCTCCGAAGAACATACCCCGACGTCATTTGCCAACAAACTCTCAGACGATGTTCGTGCGCCAGATACAATCATTATAGAATGGACTGCAGAGGAATGCGCCAGGTTTCTGGCTGCTCTGGGCCTTCGTCAATACTGCGATACGTTTCTAGGTGAGTTGGTTGCGTCGTCACTGTAGGCAGTGGAGATGTCGCTAATCTGTCCTTGTGGTTAGAAAATGAAATCGTCGGCGAGGCGCTTATTGCTCTTAAACACGATGAATTAAAGGAAATGGGAATCGCTAGTGTGGGACACCGGTTGACAATACTGAAAAGTGTATATGAAACCAAGGTCAAGCAAGACGTTCCGCTCGATCCTGATCACTACATCCCTCTATGTACGTGGCTTACACCTTAACCGAATGAGGTTTCAGAGTATTGACAAATGGAATTTAATAGCCGCCGACCAAAGCCTCAATGAAAATGCTACCCAAGAAGATATCGCCCGTCTAATCCAATCCATCCGGTTACGCGACGAGAAGATCGTTTCGGTAGAATCGGATTTGCGCCGCGTGGCCGAGGAATACCGCCGATTACGGGAAGATCTGCTGCCAGTGTTCAAAATGGCCAAGGACCGATCGCAACCACTCCCGCCTGGCGGAATGGATAACCACCACCATGACAGCCAACCGCTGGCTTCGCCTGGATTCTCGTTCGAACGACCAGGAACAGGCATATCGCGAACCTTTTCCAAGAGAGTTTACACGGGAGGCACGACACCGAAGAACAATTCTCCAACGCATATTCCACCCTCCATCCTCGAAGGACGAGCCTACGATAGTTCTGCCTTGGATCCATCCAGCGCAGCCGCAACCCATTTGACGATGAACGGCCAATTATCTCCCGGTATCCCATCTCCAACCTCCCCCGGGGCCCATTACAGCACTCTTGCCTCGCGAGCATACAAACCCAATGGTCGTAGCGGCCTCGATCATCCTGAAGATACACCAATCCCGCCACCGTCCCGGTCTGAGCGATTGAATCCAACCCCGGTCTCCTCCCGCGATACTCCCTCGCGATCTGAATCGCGATCTGGCCACGATCCGCCCAGCGTCGAAATATTCAAATCGTTCCGCGTTTCCATGGACGATCCTTGCCACAAGGTTTTACCAGCGGCCCTCAAAAAATATAACATTCAAGCCGATTGGAGACAATATGCGCTTTATATCGTGTACGGTGATCAGGAACGCTGTCTAGGACTGGAAGAACGGCCTCTTATTCTCTTCAAACAACTTGAAAAGGAAGGACGAAAACCGATGTTCATGCTGCGGAAACAGTTAAATCCTATCGACAACACTGTCGTCCCTGGAGGGTCAGCGCCCAATAGCGCTGGATTCGAGGGCAAACAAGCCCAAATTAATCTACCTGGTGGTGTTTTGTGAGCTATACTCTCTAACCCAAGATACCCTTCTCGCCTCTTTTCCTTTTTACATCATTTTCTTTTCTTTCCGTTTCCTCTCTTACGGGTTATTTGGAATATCCATTTCTAATGACCGAACATTATATATATGCGGTGTTGGGTGTTGTATTGGATCTATCTATCGGTTTTGGACAGGGACCCAAAAAGAATCTAGCGGTGCATTATTGGTTTTAGCTTTTCTTCATTCTCCTTTCTTGTCATTTCTTCATTCTACCTTTCTCATTCTGTCTATCCCGTATATTTACTTGGGGACTTGTTATTGTTCATTTTATTTTTATTTCCTCGCCCATAATGGATGATGTGTATGGATTTGTCTTTTCTTGGTCTTTATGCACTGGCCCATTCTTGTCTATATTAATCGCCTTTTGGTTTGATATAATGTGAAATCTCGATTATAGCTCGATCAGTGCTTGAGGGCAGATCGAGTGCTATCTATGATGTTTGGTTCCATGATTTTTAGTAGTCATAATAATAGTCGCAATCTCTGATTCCCGTCAATTCTTGGGAAGTATTGTGTAGGCGCCAAAGGGTTTGTGATTGAGCGGACGCAAGTCAACCCTAAAAAATCCTCTAAACCAGCGTCACGGCAATTGGAACAACAGTTTCGAGGTTAAGTAGTTGGTCCCACAAGACAGACCGGGTCTTTGAGGGGTTCGTCGCTATCTTTCTCATAGTCATTGAAAGTGTAGGGGACATCATTCAATGTGATCAAAGCATTCTTGGGAAAACGGCCTTCATTGAAAGTGCGTATCCAAGCGAATGCGGTCGGTTTGGTGAGCTGCGCCATCTGAGAAAACTGCGCCTAGGAAACGAGATGAGTACCGAGCCTGAATAGATAAGTTATAAGTTTACTCAGTTACTCGAATAATTGCGGATGTGATGATATCGTTGTACTGCCGCTCGACCAAGACTTCATGGTTGTGTGAATCCTGTGAAGACACTCCTGCAGCATTGCGTATTACCGGGATGACTTTGCAGATGCTTTCACCAATTGCGCTTTTATATCGTTGACCACCGGGTGAGGTGTCTCGTGGAAGGATTCGTTTCAAATCCATTTCGCCAAAGAAAACATAGCTTAAACAGACGTGCCGCCATCTAGTGAGGGACATCCTACATTTCGTGTAGTAATCTGGTCATCGACCCAAGGGACGGAAATGATTCGGCAAGTTATCAGTCTCCCACTTGGCGCCGTGGTGGGTTGTGTGTGCAGAAAGTCTCGAACTAGTCAGAATGTTCTTTGTGTATGTGATTGTGGTTATTCTTGGTACATTTTGATCCAGAAGGCGGCAACACAGCCGCTCCCAATACTAGCCAGCAAGAGCCGAATGACCTGTAGAATTCATCTTGGTATTGGGATTTCAATAGCTGTGCTTTATCTCCGACTGTGATCTTTTTGCCCTCGCTGCACAGTTTTAGGTTTCTCACGGAGAAGCGTTTTGTGGCTGCCCCGTATAAATGGTAGATAGATTATATAGGGCTCGTCCATCTTCTTTCATACATCACGTAGGGTGACATCAAGTATGTACTCGATATCAACCCACTGTGATAAGGGCAGGTCACAAAGCGCATTTAAAGATCGAGAACATCTGAACGTAAACGCCCTGTTTCTCAGGGCACTTGTCAAAGTTCCAGCCCATATTGTAAGATTTCTGATACCAGTATATTCAATATAAAATCGAACTCCCAGCCCTCGGATCTCTTTGCGACGTGCCTCGAGCACTTGTAAGATATTTTTAATACCTATTAGGAGTATATCGACTGACAAAATCTTGTTTGACTTCGACTCCTAGGGTTTTCAGTATGCCATATGCTGTTTTATCACTGATTTGTCACTTCGGTGATTGCATCGTTAAATTAGGTGGGTATAGGTTCCGTGATTGGTCTGCGAAACCCCGTCCTCTCTATATCAATCGGTATATGGCAATTCTCCCATGATCTTGTACTCTGTCCAGATGTCACTATAGATGGCTAGAACTAAGAGCCTCGTGACCGTAGAATGCCGACATACTGATCGTGTAGCTTTGTTTGCTCGTCGGGGATATTCTCTGGCTTTAGCTTGAAGATCGCATGGATAGTCCAGCGCTTGTCTCATCATGTGCTGCTGCTTTGCTACTGTTGGCTCTATCGGACCTGGGACTATGATCAATTTTCCATTATCGAAGTGACGTGCAATCTCTTTGGATAACGTTGAGTTACCAGTCAACAAATTATCAACCATGCTTTTGTGTTGTTGAACTCACCTGAACTCATGGTTATCCCCATGACTGTCAATAGTCCCATCTTAACATTATTTAAACTTCTCGGTTCTGTTCATGGAACCTAGCCACTCGACTACCCATTCGAGTTATCAATACGCATGAGTGCTGGAATCTTCAATGCGTGACAGAAGATTATGGTCAACAGATTTGACCCAGTTCGTTGAAACACAAGATAGGAAGAGAGAACGAGGAAAAGAAGATGAGGGGCTATATGTAGCTAAGGAAACAACGAAGAGGGTAAAACTGGGCTGAAATTTGTTTTGCTGTCTTCACTCTCATTGCCCAAGATCATTCACAGTGACTTATTCTCAATTGCTCTGATGCGCTGTCTACATGCCATTCCCTAGAAAACCTGGCAATCAAAACCCCACAGGAGTCGTAAACCCGATATCCATAGCTTCAAGAATCCAGTCCCATACACATCCTTGAAAATTGGATTCCAAATCACCCCTGACAGTTTGCTATTGATCCCGAGCACTTGCATAACCATCCAATCATCAGCAATCATTTTTGTATCCGCAACCTCCGTGTATCTGACATGAGCGCGAGAGAAAGCCATAGAATCGGGTTCCGAATGATCCCAGTCGCAGTAGCGTGTCCAGATTTGAATGACGGTCTCTCAGTTGAATCCGATGAATTCATATGCTTCCGGGCTTCTTAGGTATTCGGGGATCTCAGCATTGTGATGCTGCACGGTGGCGTAAGTGGTTGAGAAATTTGTCAAGTTGATGTGCCCTGGTGCTGGAGATTCAAGGCAAACAGTTGGGTATGATAGGCCTTCAAACGGCGCATTTTCGAAGAACAACGCGACCTTGTCAGAAACAAGATTGCCTCCCGGAATTTTGCTGTATCCATGAGGGTCAATAGTGGGAGCCAAGTCCATCCCGAGAAGTGCGAGATATAGCTATAATAGAGGAATGGGTTAGAAGATAGATGGAGGAAAGGAGGGAACAGATAGAGATCTCTAGGCAGTTAAATCCCTGCCCTGCCTACAACCGGATGTGACATCGTCGGGAGAGGACTTTCTCTCCCAGGCTTTCGCCATGGGAACCGGAGTGACGTGAAGACATGATGGAAGATTGGTTAACATTTATTATCTGAAAAATTAGAGTTGGTATTGTGTTTTCTTTTTTCAATGGGCGAAATGAGTGACATACAGCACCAAAGATGATGGGTGGCCAGCGTCGTCCGCTGAGGATTGTATCGGATGATGAGATGAGAATGAAGGATGAAGATAGATGAAGGTGAGATGTTTAATAGTAGACAGCTAAGTGAGTATGACTAAATATCCTGTTATGCAAAAGCATGGACACCCCGGACGCATTCGTAACTTAACTATACAGCCAAGATAGGTGGTATAACGAAGCTCCAAGCAGCTGAAAGGATGTGACTCAACCCGTGAAAGAATGGATGAGGCCTCAGACGCATTCATTCATAGCGAGGGATTCTTGGAACTAACTATACAGCTCACTCAACCTCCATCTCCGAGCTCTTCCCCCTCTTCGCCTGCACATAAGCCACAAAATCATCAATAGCCCCCGGCCACGCTCCATCAGCACTCCACCACGAAAACTCCTCATCCTCCTTCGTCTTGCGCATAAGCACCTCCAGCTGCTCCCACAGATCCTTGTTGATCGGCCGCTTCCCACGCTCCTCCAGAAACTCGATCCACCAGTCCAGCCAGGGAGTCGTTTTCGTGTTCCATGTCGTGCCACCGTTGTCGGGAGTAAAGAAGAGATGCCATTGTTCGGAGGCAATTTCGAACTGCAGGTTGCGCTGGCCTTGGAGACGGCAGAGAGGGAAGGTGTAGCGGTATACGCGGCGGAAGAGATCAGGGTCTGTTGGGATACGGTTGCGGATTTCTTGGGCGTGACTGATCATCTTTTTGACGTTATCGCAGCTGATTTCATTAGTCGCTGGGACAGAAGTGCACGGCGAATTTCTTACCTCGTAGATCTCCATCCAGTCACAAAGCCCTCACGAGTAAATTCACCCATCGATGGGGATTTGAGCAGCTCTGCGATTCCAAGACAGGCGACCTCATCCAGTTGCACCTGAATATCTCCAAAGAATTTCATGGCTCCTTCGATGCCGATGCCGTCGGGGTTCTCTTGAGGGTCATCTACTATTGTCAGCTTATTCTAGGATTGGATTCTTGACGGTCGTACCTCGATAGCTGTCAAAGATCTTGCTGATGGCGGCGCTAGCACCGGTACTTCCTGCTTGGGGGTCGTCCAGATAGCTAAACATCCTCGTCAGTGGCCATAGATGAACAAAGCCAGACTGCTCTGATCAACGATAAACCGCCTCTGGTGTTTGTACTTGATGTCACCTTGGGAAATCCAAAGTAGAGCACACGACGCCCTCGCTGTCAAATCGCATTCTGACCATTGAGGGCTGTTGTGTCGTCTGTATCATGCTCCATATAGCCGACTTCGACACAGAAACCAGTTGCAACGCCAGCCAGAACAGCCTAATAAACAGGGTACTCACGCATCAATAGCCTCCTGAACATTCCACCTCGACGCTTTAAGAAACTATACCCAAACCCGTCAGCCAAACGCACGTGACCAACCTCCAAAGTCACACCAAAGCAACCACAACCACCCGTCAACAGGAAAAGGTAAATACCTTTGCAGCAACAGAGTCTTTCGCCTGGGTAAACGCCATGAACTGGGCGATTAATTGCTTCTGGACACCCGAGTAAGGTGGCATGGTGGGGGGTGTATGGTGATGTTGGTGTTGATGGTGCCAGCGCCAGGTCAGGAAACCGACGAGGAGTATGGGGAGGACGAGAAGTATATTGGAGGTGAGAAAGGAGGATCTGGGTAGGGTATTTAGCAAGATAATGTAGAGAAAGTAGTGGTGGTAATTGAACCAAGAGTGGTTGGCGGAGTGAAATGATCGCTTTGCGGCGATTTGAGGCGGCGGGCACGTGCCCCGCAGGTATCAAGAAGGAACGACTACAAGATAACTACACATGTATACACTCTACTATACTGACACTTGAGATGCTTGTCACTTAATTGCTATGTTTAAGCATTGGTATAGCTTTGCAGTACCAAACTATTCTGTCAAGATCATGCACAACCATGGTATATTGAAGACTTTTCTAAGACGAATACGACGCCGGAACTCCGTTTTGACCACATCGAGTATCGAGCACCCATAACGATTCGCATATGCAAAGGAACTTTTAAGTCGTGAAGAGGGTATCTTCCTGCTAGAAGTTAGCCACTTGCCAGGATCCAATGCGCTAAGAAAGTGCTTACCTCTCTCAAGTATTCTCCAATATCCGCCTGTCTAAACACCGTAATGGCCGTTGGGTCTAGTTTCCGAGTCTCGGCAGTCGATCTCGCCGTGACACCAAAGCCCTGTCTCTGTCAGCTCTGTGCTAAAACCAAGTTTTGGTAGAATGCATACCAAAGGCGTATCATCCATATTAAACACCACAACCCCCTGATGCTCCGGACAATCCTCACTCCACCGTCCAATATGCGCCTTGACAACATTCCCTCCGTACATAAACGGCATCTCTCCGTTCTGCTTAATCCACACCTTATACCTCGCATGCGGCGCAATCACCTCCAACGCGGTAACATGGATCCTGAACTTCCCGGTCTTGGTGAACTTGCCGACGCAGATGCCCAATGAAAGCAGATTCGTGCGGGGGATCGAGGTCGCCAAGTTTGCTAGCGACAGGCGCATGTAGTAGACTCTGCTGCCGTGGAGACGGAAGACATAGCGGTCGTTGGAGGAGGGATCATCGACGGAGGTGACCAGGGCGTTGAGAGAGCGGCCGGTGTAGTTGGCGAGTTTAGAGAAGAGGGTCTTGGTTTCGTCTTCTGTGAGTTGGCGCATTTTGAATATTATCTCTAATATTAAATTAGAGAAAAATTAAGGTGGAAAGATGAAGTAGCAAAAGAGAGAATACTAGCAGACAAAAAAATCTAGACGCGGAAATAGTCGGTCTTTAGCGTTGGGTCTTGGCACCCGGCAGAAAAAAAAAAAAAAAAGTTCGGACCTACAGCAACCAACCTCAATTCAACCTCACAACAAGACACGGTACAGAATTAAATATAATGGCTATCGCACACTCTTCGAAAAGACGACGTTTAAGTCCCCCCGGCGATGAAATCGTGAAACCCTCTCGTTCCTACCTCAACGAAGAATGGGATGCCGAGCAAGACTACGAGCTCCGCCCGCGCAAATTGGGCAAGAAAGAGAAGGAGCAGACCAAGCTGCCAATTAAGACGGATGAAGGTCTGCAGAGGGTAGAGGAGCCGGTGCAGGAGGCTGAAGATTCCGATAGCTTTCTCGGGACCGACGATGACGAGGGCGAGGATGGAGAAGGTCAATGGGACGGCATGAGCGAGGACGAGGAGGAGAAAGAGGAGGCCCCGAAGATACCATTGAAGGTGCAGATCGTACAAGCCAAGGAAGAACTTGCGAAGCTTGCGACTTTGATCAATGAAGACCCCGAAGAACACATTGGTTCGTTCAAGGTAATGGCCGAAATGGTGGAGAAGGGATCACACGTTACGATTAAGAAGCTCGCGCTCGCGGCACAGGTCGCGGTCTTCAAGGACGTGATTCCTGGCTACAAAATCCGCGCGCTTCTTGACGATGACAACTCCACCAAGCTGTCCAAGGAAGTGCGCAAAATTCGAAAGTTCGAGCAGACCCTTCTCAACGGATACAAGCATTTCGTGCAGACGCTGCAGGAACTCACGAAGCCTACGAAGAAGGACCAGGAAGCGGTGGATCCCACCTTGAAGAGCGTTGCGCTTAATTGCGCATGCAATCTGTTGCTCGCAGTGCCACATTTCAACTACCGTAACGAGTTGTTGAAGATCATTGTCAACCGTCTCGCGAAGAGACAGATTGATGCGGATTTCGACAAGTGCCGCGAGACTATGGAGGATGTTTTCCACAAGGATGAAGATGGTGTTGTCTCTCTTGAGGCCGTCCGTCTGCTGTCGAAGATGATGAGGGCTAAGGAATACCGCATCCACGATGCCGTCTTAGACACCTTCCTCCACCTGCGTCTCCTCTCCGAATTCTCCTCCAAGGCCTCCAGAGACAGAGTCGACAGACCCGAAGATGATGCCCCCCAAGGAAAGAAGAAGCACAAGAAGGAATTCCGCACAAAGCGCGAGCGCAAGGTTGAAAAGGAGCGCAAGGTCGTGGAGAAAGACATGAAGGAAGCCGACGCACTGGTTTCGCACGAAGCCCGCGAAAAGAACCAAGCAGAGACCCTCAAACTAGTCTTTGGCAATTACTTCCGCATCCTCAAACTCCGCATCCCCTCCCTCATGGGACCCGTGCTTGAAGGTCTCGCCAAATATGCCCACCTGATCAACCAAGACTTCTTCGGCGACCTCCTCGAAGCCCTGAAAGACCTAATCGGCCACGCCGACCGCTCCGAAGACGAGGACCTTGACAACGAACAAGAACAAGAGGAAACCCCAGACCAACCCCCCTCCAAAACCCGCGACTCCTACCGCGAAGCCCTCCTCTGCACAGTCACAGCCTTCGCCCTCCTCTCCGGCCAAGACGCTAGTAAAGCCGCCGCAACCCTCCACCTCGACCTAAGCTTCTTCATCAAACACCTCTACCGCTCTCTCTACACCTACTCCACAAACCCAGACATCGAGTACAACCCCACCAAATCCCTGCGCCTGCCCGACCCAGACTCCCGCGAAGCAAACACCCAAAATGACTCCCACCGCCGCTCAAAAAATAAAGTCAACTTCCAAACCCCCACCGTCCTCCTTCTCCGCTGTCTCCAGTCAACCCTCATCTCCCGCGCCCACGGCAACCCCCCCCCAAACCGCCTGGCCGGTTTCACGAAACGACTCATGACGACTTCGCTGCAGGTCCCTGAGAAGTCTGCGATTGCGACACTGGCGCTGCTGAGTCAGGTGGCTAGGCATAATGCACGGAGGGTGTCGGCGCTGTGGCATAGTGAGGAGAGAAAGGGGGATGGGGTGTTTAATCCGTTTGCGACGGATATTGAGGCGACGAATGTTTTTGCGGGGAATGTTTGGGAGGGGGAGTTGTTGAGGGTGCATTATTGTCCACAGGTTAGGGAGGCAGTTGTGGGGATTGAGAAGATGGTTATGCAGAAGTAGTAGTGTATATGGTTATTTTGAATTCATGTTAATATTGTTTACTATTTTCTGTTGCATTTCGTTATTCGTAAACATGACTCGTTTATCATCAATACCACATTTTCCAGTTAAATATCCCATCCCATATCACAGAACAGATCGTGTAGACATATGTCAACCCAAAGACAACCTAACCCTCAGCCGATCCACGGCTAGAACCCATCGGACCAGCCCCCCTCCCCGTCCGCGACACAACCGAAGACGAACTAACCTCCCGAGACGCAAGAGGCCTACCATGACCTTGTCCATGTCTATGACCCTGAATATGGCCTTGAAGACCACCCCTCCCCCCAAACCTCGGCGGCTCAGGCAAGTAACTCCCCGAAGAAGAGATATATCGAGCATTAGGCTGATAGTGTGGTAGTCCGTGATACCCCATATCCGAATCCATCCTCACAGACAGCGCAGACGGCGACCTACGCGCAACCAAGCCGCCTGGATTAAACAACGAAGCCGACGACGCCGCGGATACCTTCGATCTGAAGCCCTGGTGAGATCGTGAGCCTCGCAGGCTACGCTGGGGGATTAACGCCATTGATGTTGAAGATGAGGGGAATTGGTTCGCGCGGTAGTTATGATTTAGTTGTTGGAGTCTGGTCTGTTGGTGGTGGAGACGTTGTTCGCGTTCGCGCATGATTTGCTGTTGGCGGGGGTTGCGCAGGGCGGGGTGGATGGCGCTGGGGCTCATGTTTTGGTCGTTTGTTGATGGTTGTAGGTGTGGTGCACGTTGGTGTTGGGGTTGGGGTTGCGGTTGGGCTAGGTTTGCTGGGACTTTGGGGACGGGGGGTGTTGAGGGTGGTGCGATGGTGGAATCAGAAGCAGAAGTGGTTTTCTTGAGGTCTTCGGATAAAGCTTTGTTGTTGCTATTGGCATCCTTGTCCTTGTTTTTGTCCTTGTTCCGACGTGGCGTGCGCAGGAATCTGCTAGACGAGAAGGAGGACGACTGGTTATCACCTGTATCGCGCCGTCTGCGAAAGCCGAACATGCTCTTTTTATGAGGGGTCTTTGTTCCCTCTTCACTTGGAGCAGAGCAATCTGTCTTTTGCTTCTGCAGCGGCTGGAGAGTAGACTGGCTGTTTTCAGACACGGCGTCGAGAGAGAATGAACGGTCGAATGTAGGTCTGGGCTCGGGGCTGCCGGAGGATTCTCGAGCTGGATTTTTGCGACCTGATGAGCCACTGCGTTGTGGGTTGGTGGTTTCTTTCTTTTGAACAGGTGTAGTGGGCAAAGGTGTACCTGGTTTCACCTGCACCATCCCATCCTTTTCAGTTGGATTGTTGGTTCCTTTGTTATGCTCTCCTCCAGATACGTCCTGCTCCTTTGGATGCAGCTGCTTCGCTCCTGTCATCACTGGCACACCCATCACACTCGAAGAATCAATCAAACTCCCCAGACCCAACTCCCCCCTCAACCTTCCCACCTCCTCCCTCACGATATCCACCAACCTCGCCTCAACCCCCCTAATCTCCCCTCTCAACACCTCAACCCTCTCCCCAAGTTCTTGCAACCCCCTCTGCGCCCCGCAAACACTCTCCCCCAACCCCACAGACCTCGCATTCATAACCCTAGCCGTATCAGAGAGTACCTCGACGTTCCGCAGGATCTGGTCCATCGTCCAGTTATTCGAGGACTCGAAAGTTTTCGTGAGCCGGGAAACGACGCTGTTGAGGTGGTGATGGAGGGCTTGGACGTGGGAGTGGAGTTGCTGGTCGAGTGTTATGGTGTTGTTGTAGGTTGGGTCTGGGGGGGAGGGGGCTGATCCGCCGTGGGTTGTTGTGTTTGGAAGGGTGTTGCCTCGAGAGTTGGAGGAGGTAGGTTGGTAGAGAGACAGCGATGGGATAGGGCTTGACATTTCGGATTGAGATACGTTGCTATCGTGAATGCCCGGGAACGGCTCAGGCGTGGATTCATCCCGTACAGCCCTCAAGCTTTGAGCACTGGCCTCAGTCTTGATAACCTCAGCTTGTCCGCTATTCAGGTACTGTCCCTTGCGGGCAGTAGGCGCCTGAGTTGCCTCGAGTATCATAGCGTCGATTTGCTCGTTGGCGTCATCCTCCATAGCATTGCCCAGTTTTGTCCTCTTTTTCGCGTTCATGGCGTTTCTGATCTTCTCGAGACTGTCGCCATCTTCCATTGATAGCTGCGCAGCTAGATGAAGATCATCACCGGATGGCACCTGAGAACCAGGCGCAGACAGCGCATAGACACCTGAATCCGACTTCTCAGGTACAAGAACGTCCTCATCGAAGCTATTCTGCAGCGTCGTGGTACCACTATACGGCCCATCATCTCCAGACAAACCAGAACCACCCTGCTCCCTGCGAGCCTCCCCAATATCCTTAAGACTAAACTTCGTGCGCAAAGCCGCGACACGAGATCGATTAACTTCATTCTCGACGCGTTGATCTTTTTCCCTCGGACTGTCTGCTTCGGTGGTTGTACCGACGAACGACGAGGAAGAGACTTGGTCTTGGTTCTGAGCATGGTGGCTGGACGGGTCCAGCTTCGCGTCGTGGGATGAGCTGAAGGATGATTCGCGAGATGTGATGGAGCTGGGGTAGTCTAGGATGGGGGGTTTGTGGGTGATGGAGGTTGACACTGGTGAGATAAAATTCTCAGTCAGCTCTTTTCCTCATGATGTCTGTGATGAGAGATATCGTCGATAGAATGACAGGAGGCACGTACCCTTTTCAGAATCCGTTGACTGCTGCTGCTGTCGCTCCAGTTGCTGTTTTTTCTTCTCGCGAGCTTTCATGACAGCCCACGCGTTGCCGCTGCGAGGCGACATGTTGGTGCTGAGGACTGGTAGCAAACGAGGTACAAACCTGGCTATTTGAGTTGAGATGAAAGAGTATCTCGAACGCGGAGGAGAGATGGAAAGGAAAGAAAGGATCTCGTCTTTGGGTGGATGTTGTGTTTACACACATTTCGTGTCTGTCAGTGAATGGAAGGACTATCTAGTGTATATTTTGAGGCATTCCCACCAACCCTACAATACTCCAACTCTTACGAATCAAGTGAAGGTCATCCAGTAAATTCATTATCATCACATATCATCATCTGGAACCATTATTATCATCAATCATGACAACCTCAAAACATACAGCAATAGCATAGCAACACGGCAAGACAAGACATCAAACAATGCAATCTGGATGGAGAGGAGAAATCGAAATAGACAATAGAACAGGTAGAGGGGAATCGAGCGGTATCGAAATAAAATGAGCGGTAGTTCTTTTTTTTTTTTTTTTTCTTTTCTTTTTATAGTTTTCTGGCAAATCAAGCTTTTCGGGTATAAGCACGCCAGCTCAGGCCTAAGCCCATGGCTAGCAAAGGAGCACCAAGAACGGTCATCAAGAGCAGTTTCCTGAATCACGTCAGTTGCGAATTAAAACAAAAACGCAAACGAAACGACGAAACAACAAAACAACGAGACAAAATTATCTATTGCTCGGCCTTTCCACTGCCGCGGAAAGGCGAGAATAGAGCACCAAACAGGTTGGAAAACACGGATCGGACAATGGATTTCAACCAGCTGTCGCCATGGTTCAAGGAAACTGCTCTAGCAGAAGTCACTGACCGATTTGTATTCCCAGTAGAAACATCACCAGCCTTGTCGGCTGCTTCGGTGGTTGTAGACTCGGTTGTTGACTCGGCGGGTGCTTCGACTTCGGGCTTCGACGACGGTTCCGGTTCTGTGGCACGAGCACTTGGCTCAGGCTCTTGTGCTGCGGGAGCGTCCTGCTTAGTGTCTGCGGGCTTGGGCTCACTGTCCTTAGTCTCGGGGGCAGCGGCTTCGGACTCCTTGTGCGCCACGGCCACACCAGCGGCAATAGCAGCACCGGCGGTGGCTGCAGCGGCAGCACCAATACCAAGAGTCTCGGGGGTCAGGATGCTGCTGTCCTTGTTAGCGTCCTCTTCAGCCGGAGTACTCTCCTGGGCAGGTTCCGAGGAACCAGCCTCCTGGGCTTCAGGGACGGTTTCGCGCTGCTCGACAGGGTGGCCATTTGGCTCCTGCAGAGAGTCCTTCGAGACGGTCTCTGGTGTCGCCTCAACCACTGGCTCAGGTTCTGGAACAGTCTCTTCGGTCTTCACAGCCTCGACAGCAGGGGCCTCAGCTGGTGCGGACTCCGCAACTGGTTCTTCGGGGGCCGGTGCGTCGACAACAGGTTCCGCAGTCCCAGTCGCAGGCTCAGCAACAGGCTCTTCTTTAGCGGGCTCTTCGACGACCTGCTCCACAACCGGCTCAGCAACGGGTTCCTCCTTGGCGGACTCTTCGACGACCTTCTCTGCGACTGGCTCCACAGTTGCTGGCTCTGCGAGCGCAGATTCCACAGCAGGCTCGACCTTCTGCTCAGGCTCCTCAGCGGGTTTCTCCTCAGCGATCGGCTGCTCCGGTTCGGTAGTCGGCTCCACGGGGGCCTCAACTGTTGTCTCAACAGGGGCCTCAACAGGGACCTCGACAGGCTCTTCAGGCTCCTGCTTCTCAGCAGCAGGCTCAGGGACGGCTTCTTCGACGGTCTCAGCGGCGGGGGCCGGGGCTTCCTCCTTAGGAGCTTCCTCAGTAGTAGTCTCCGCAGCGGGTTCCTCGACGACAGGAGCTTCAGTGGTCGTTTCGGCAGCGGGCGCTTCGACGGCTGGTTCTTCGACAGCAGGTTCCGCAACAGTCTCCTTGGGCTCCTCAGCAGCAGGTTCCTCTGCAACGGGCTCCTCGACGGCAGGCTCCTTAACGGATTCTTTAGCAGGCGCGGGCTCTTCAGTCGAAGTCTCCTCAATAGCAGGTTCCTGGACGGTCTCGGGCTCCTTGGTAGGCTCCTCCACAGTCTTCTCAACAACTTCAGGAGCGGCCTCAGGCTCTTCCGTCACGGCGTCAACGGCGGGGGTCTCAGCAACGGGTTCCACAGCAGCCTCGACCTTTTCGGCGGGAGTCTCTTCCGCAGCAACAGCTTCGACAGCCGCGGCTTCCGTTGCGGGCTCCTCCGCAGTCGGTTCGGGGGTCTCCTCGACAGGCGCCTCGGGGGCAGGGGTCTCTGCGGCTTCAGTGACGGGCTCTTCCTTCACTGCCTCAACAGCAGGCTCAACGACCGGCTCCTGCTTCTCTTCCACAGGGGCTTCGGCGGCGGGCTCATCAGCAGTTTCCTGCTTCTCCTCAGCAGTGACCTCAGCGACGGGCTCAGCGACGGGCTCAGCGACGGGCTCAACGACAGGCTCAGCAACAGGCTCAGCGACAGGCTCAGTGACAGGCTCAACGACAGGCTCAGTGACAGGCTCAACGACAGGCTCAGTGACAGGCTCAACGACAGGCTCAGCAACAGGCTCAGCAACAGGCTCAGCAACAGGCTCAGCAGTCTCCTGCTTTTCCTCGACAGGGGCTTTAGCAGCGGGTTCTCCCGTAGCAGGCTCCTCAGGGACAGTCTCGTTCTTGTCTTCCACAGGAGCTTCGGCAACAAGTTCCTCCTTCACTACCTCGGCAACGGGCTCGTCGTGCTTCTCCTCGACAGGAGCTTCGGCTGGGGGTTCTTCAGCAACATGCTCCTCCTTAATTGGTTCAGCAGGTTCTTCGGCGGCAGGCTGCTCCTCAATGGCGGCCTGGACAGGCTCTTCAGCGGCCGGTGCCTCTACAACGGGCTCAGTCGATTCCTCCTTGGTAGGCTCAGCCTCGACAGGCTCCTCCGCAACAGGCTTCTCTTCAGGAGCAGGAGTGGCTTCCTCCTTAACTTCCTCCTTGTTCTCTTCAACGGCAGGTGCAGTCTCAGCAGGGGCCTCTACCTCAGTAGCGGGTTCGTCGGCAGCGGGCTCTTCAGCGGGAGTCTCTTCGACAGGAGCTTCCTTCACGGGCTCCTCAGTAGCAGGCACTTCCGAAGGCTCTTCCTTGGTCTCCGTGGATGGTTCCTCGACGGTTTCCACCTTGACCTCATCAGCCTCCTTCGCGGGCTCCTCAACCTCAGTGACAGCCGGCTCCTGAGCAGTCTCAGGCTCAGCAACAGCCTCCGTGGCCTCAGCGACAGCCGGGGTCTCTGCTGGCTCCTCCGCGGCAGGGGTCTCTGTAACGGGTTCCGCAGGTTCCTCAACTGCGGCGGTCTCTTCGGTGGTGGGAGCTTCGACAGGTGCAGCCGACTCAACGGGCTCCTGTGCCGGTTCCTCAGTCACCGGCTCTGCAGCGGGTGCCTCCGTAGCAGGCTTCTCTTCCTCAGCAACAGCCTTCTCAGCTGGCTCTTCAGCAGCCGGAGCTTCGGCCGTCCCGTTGGTAGAAGGCTCTTCGTGGACTGGTTCAGCAGCGGGTTCCTCAGCAGTAGAAGCTTCCGTCGTCCCGTTGGTAGTAGGCTCTTCGACCGGTTCAGCAGCGAGTTCCTCGACCGGTTCCTCAGCAGCCGGTGCTTCCGTTCCATTAGTAGTAGGCTCGGCGGTTGCCGTGGCAGGCTCTTCCGAAGCGGCCTCTTCCGCGTGAACACCGTTTGTACCGTTTGTTGTTGGTACCTCTTCGGCCGGAACCTCCGGAACGTGGGAAGCTTCCTCAGAATGTCTACTCTCTACCGTTTTTGTTTCTTCCACTGGTTCTACCTCTGTGCCGTTGGTACCGTTGGAGCCGTTTGTTTGGACCTCGGGTTCGGAAACCGATTTTTCATCTTCTTCAGCAGTCAGATCCCCGACATTCAGCACGTTCACAATGCCATTGTCACCGGATACTACAGTAAAGACGAATCAATTAGCTTCTGTGCCTACTTTCACCTGAAGAATTTTCTTTTTTCTTTGAAAGTCTTACCCTGCTTCGCACCCTCATCATGGAACCAAACAGCATCGTCCCCCTCCCCCTCACAGAACCGATACTGATACTGGCCCGGGGACAGCTTCATCTTGCGCGAGTAAATCCAGTCCTCGCTTTGTGGGGGCCGCTTGACGGTCAACTTGACGGGCTGCCATTGCGGGTTGGTAAAGGTACCAGAGAGGAAAAGAGGAATGGAATCGGAGGAGCGATGGAGGGCAATGGTGACGTTTTCTTTTTTAGCGGCCATGGTAGATAATTGAGTCGAGATTGATTCGTGAGTTATTCGTAACGTCGTAAATCTCTATCAGTTGGGTTTCGGGTTTCGGAGGCGGGTAAGGTAAAAAAAAAAAAATTAAAACAAAACAGCAGATATAGACAAGATGGATACTGTACAAAATAGGAGGGATAAAATAGTAGGTCCTCTCAGATAATTGAGAGGATGAATTGAGATGAGAGAGGAGGGTGTCAAAAGACAAAAGAGGTGAAAGTGAGGTGAGGAGAAAATTGTTGGAGGGGTCCGGCGAAGATCTTCTCAGGTGACTTTGCAGCCCTCAGGCGTCAATCCCGTGACTCAGGCAGAAAATACACTGGTTGGCACAGCGATGGCACTATGCAAAATGTAATCCTGGCCTAAAATGCGGTGAAGCGAGAAACGGGCATACATACATGAGGCGAGGCGAAAGTCGGTCAATAAAGCCTGTCGAGTCACGGCTTGTGTGCAGCTGCACCTCATTCGCTGCTGTGCGGATTATGGAGACTGCTTTGCATATGTTTGAAGTTGAGATTTTTTACTATGTACGGAGCACTCTAGCTATACGAAGTCAAGATGAATGGATCCAAGATGCTGTTTTCTGTTGACATTTTCACATGAAGGCTTTAAAACTTTTCCGGATGATCAACATATTACCCGATTGGGCAAGATTGGTGAGGCTGTCCACTCGTCCGGCTGAAGCACAAAGGCAATTTTGAGTCTAGTGCTTGTAATTGGATCAAGATGAGGGGTGCAGCGGATTTGCCTTTCATAACATTTATCTTATCATAGCTGTAGCACAAAGAGCATACGGGATCCCCGGATGTCGTGCTCTGTACGGAGTATGGAGTGTCTAGATTCGTGAAATAATTGACTCGACTGGTCTGTGGTGTACAACGGGATCGCGATGTCGTACCTGTTTAATAGTAACACGATTAAGCAGCATGAAGCATATCATAAGCCAATCAACAAACAATTCATATACTGTCTCTCTCCCATTCGTTGCCGGTATTATCTCGCATCCTGCATGCGAGTTAAGCATCAGTGTCAAGCAACGCATCCCGGCAAGCTTTATTCGGCTTCTGTATCAATATTTATGCTCCTTGTGAAGTATATACCGGATCTTGTTTTTCGAATCGGTTTTTTTTTTGATGCTCATGGTGGATGGTTATACATAGATGTATATTCCGGAGCAAGCGCCATAAGCGTGCCGTATACATGTACACCAATGGATCAGTTCAATTCGTGAGGAATGGCAATACGGGATGAAGGACAATATTTAGGTATCACCCTATCCAGTTATATTACGAGTGTATTTATTGGAGACAGCTTGCTGCACATTCCATGACCTGTGATTGATTGCGTATGTTGAGCTTGATAGCCCAACGATGTCCTATGATGATCCGACTCAAAGCTCCTATCTCAAACTTTACTCTCCATATCTACACAAGCAAAGTATCGCTCCTGGCATCCACTTATTTTAGCTACTCAGACCAGATCAAGAGAAACGGTCCTGAGCTGCGTCTCAACTTCTAGAATTCAAATAGTTTGCTATATATGCGAAGCTAATCTTTTCCTCAGATTATCCATAGCCGTATTGCTTGTCATACTTGTCCCAATCAAATAGCCTCTGTAAATTTAGGTATTTGCTGCCTTCTGCAGCAAGCCTCTATCGAAGTAGCATCTGACTTGGTTGATTTGCAGTCCATACATGCCGGATCCCCCCTCGGATTTGGCAATCTCGTAAACAAATGACTGGGGGAGTGAAACTGGCTCCTTTCCGTTCTTCAAATGCAAGTTGTTCGTAGTCTCCACAATCAAAGTATGCACGTCGGTTCCCTTGTCGCTCAGAAGGGTCATCGAGATCACATCATGCACACAGCACTTGAACGGCTCATAAAGGAGGATGTAGTACTCCCAGATTGCCTCTGCACCATGAATAGTCGACTGGTCCGTGTTCACTAGGGTCGCAGTGGAGGCGTAGTACTTGGTCGGTGATGTAGTGGTCTTGGCGGAATTGAAGTCAGCAGCGTACTGGGCGTAGAAAGAGAGGGCACGGTTGTCTGTGATAGTCTGAGGGGGATGGCCGAGCTTCAAAGGTCCCTTCAGGACTACGGTATTTTTGGCCATTGTTTGGTAACGATGAGTCAATGAAGTAATAAGCAATGAGTAGGAAGCGATGACCATCAGGGATTAACTGAATGAATATATAAAATGAAAGCACCGCGGAGCCGGGCAACAGCCGAATAAACCCTGATTTGTAACAAGACATGTTAAAGGACATTCCCGAGGATGCACTGCTGACCGGGATGCGTTATTGGACCTTCCGAGGTTTCATTTCTCGGAGACTCGGACCGCAGTTGGGTTCGCATACCGGAAAAGTCGCTAAACAATTCCTCATCTTTCTCATGTATATAAATAAAAAAACCTTCTTAGCCTTGTTTTTGTCTCCCCTATTCTAAAAGAAAAAACAACTATCGCGGGATCTCGTCAACCTCACAAGCGGCTACCCTGACAGGATAGTTTTTGGGAACACTTTTTTTTCCGTCCTACTCAGCCTTGCACCGGTTTCACTGTTTTTCTGTTGCTATGTCTTCTGAACATATAGCAATCCATCTGGCAAAGCGCCCGGAGACTACCATTGTTCCTGGTGAGACATTTGTTGCAAGAGCACATCCGGCGCCTGGACCAGGTGAACTTCAAGATGGTGAGGTTGTCTTGGAAAGCCTTTATCTAAGTTTGGATCCTGCGATGCGTGGCTGGCTAGACGACCGACCTTCATACATCCCTCCCGTTGCGATTGGTGAAGTCATGCGTGGCTCTGCTTTGGGACGGGTAATTGCCTCACGATCACAGCGTTTCCTTGTTGGATCCTACGCCGTCGGTATGATTGGTTGGACCGAGAAGGCAATCATCAATGAAAATAACTTGGAAGCCGTGTCCAAACCTGACTCTACCGATGGAGGCCGCTTGACCGATATTCTAGGCGTGCTTGGCTTTACGGGAATCACGGCATACTGGGGAATGGTGGAAGTTGGTCATGTTCGCCCCGGAGATGTTGTGGTTGTCTCAGGTGCGGCTGGGGCGACTGGTTCCATTGCTGGACAGATTGCAAAGATCCATGGCGCCACCGTGTACGGAATCACTGGTTCAGATGAGAAGTGTCGTTGGCTAATCCAGGATCTCAATTTCGACGGAGCGCTGAACTACAAGGGCAAGAATTTCGACGACGAATTCAAAGCTTTGACTCAAGGAAAGATCGACCTCTTCTACGACAATGTCGGTGGGCAGATCCTCGACTTGGCCCTCGTCTGCGCCAGGAAACATGCTCGATTCGTCATGTGTGGTGGAGTCAGTCAATTCAATGAGCGTGAAGTGCAGGGCCCGAAGAACTACCAAATGATATGGAGAATGCGAATCCGCATGGAAGGCTTTATCGTCTTTGATCATATGGATCGAATTCCCGAAATCAGACAGAAGCTCAGCCAGTGGCTAGTAGAAGGCCAACTGAGGCGGAGGGAGACCATTGTGAGTGGTGGTATACGACAAGCGGAAACGGCCTTGACGCAATTGTATCAGGGTTTAAACACAGGTATGTTTTTTATTCCCTTTCTCTTTTATTTATTTTTTCATTTTATTTTATCCCTTCTCCGCCACCAACTCTACGCTCAGTATCCCATTAAAATATTGGTACTAAACAATTATGCACAGGAAAACTTCTTGTTGAGGTCAAAGCTCCGTGAAGGGAGTTAAGAAGACCATGACGAGGCTCTGCCGATGCTCCAGTGTTCCAATAGAAGCCTTGAAGATGTATTTCTCTTAGAGGCGATGCATCAGACGCTGGCGAAGGATGCAACACGATTTCTCGTATATTGTGTGCTTTTCAGGCATCCTTAACCGACCTGATCCTGATGTAGTCATTCGAATATATCATTAGATTAATTGCAATTCTCTATCATTTAAAACTTCACCCGCAATGCCCAATTCCGACAAAGCCCCCTCGCAACAATAAACGCCACCATCGCTGCCAAATACATAACACCCCCAAAGATAATCAATCCCTGATAACCCCCATGATCCCGTTCCTGAATCGCACCCGCGATCGGAATCCCAGTGAGAGTCCCGACACTCGAGATCGCAAACGTCGTTCCATTCCGTTTGCCCAGATCCTCTGTCTTGCATACCTGAGAAATACACACCGGCGTCAGACTGATCGCTGCGCCGCTCCAGAAGCCGAAGAGCACTGCGTAGCAGATAATCGCTGCTGTGTTGTCGCCTGCTTTGAACCAGAGTGCTAGTGTTAGGATGGAGCATACTAATGCTGTGCAGATCATGACGTTGAATCGGCCCAATTTGTCTGCTAGTAAGCCCGGGAGGAAACGGCCGGGGATAGCGCCTAGGTTTAGGAATGCGATTAGAGCATAAGCGAGTGTGTTGTTCATGCCGATGTAGACGGCATACGACGCGATGTAAGTGATGGGAATGAAGACGGCAAACTCCACCAGGAACACGGCCACGGTAGTAGACGCATAATGTACGTCTTTGAGGGCTTTCAAGTCGACTGCACCACCGGCCTTTTTGTTCAAGGGAAGTCGAGTTTTGATCAGGAAACAGGCTGCTAGACCTAATACGGCGCTGACTAGCGCAATAATCCGGATGGCCCAGGGAAAACCGATCTTAGGCGCTGCAAAGAGGATGATTACCGGGAATATGACGCCTCCAAGGCCACCTGCAGTACAGGCAATGCCAGTTGCGAGTCCTCGACGGATGTTGAACCAGTGGCCGACAGCAGCTACGGCGGGTGTAAACAGCAAACATGCAGAGAGACCACCTAGTACACTAAACGAGAGGAAGATCTGGTAGTATTCTGCTGCAGTTAGCCACGTGTTCTGCACATATCCGGATTCCAATCAAGACACGCACCCTTGCTGAAGCTGAGGCAAATCATCGCAACAACGATGCCAATCGACCCGGGAATAATAACATAGTTTGGTCCGTATGCATCGAAAATCGGGCCTACATACAAGTAGTCAGCAACAGCACCAATCTCCAGACCATGAGTCACTCACCAACTTGAGCTGATCCAATATAAACAAAGAAACCATACGCGCCGTAAATCCAACCAATGCTGGACTCAGAGTAATCCTTCAGTTGATGGCCAGCAGTCCAGGCATGAAGAATCCCCAGACTGTTCAAAAGACCCATGGACGGGATCATTGCACACCACGACCCTAAAACGACCAGCCATGCTTGTAGGCCTCCTTCAGGATATTCCCTATCTTCGCTCAATGCTCCAGGTATCTCGGTAGGAGTCGCCTGGCGTTCTTTCGTAGTCATTGTGCAAGATGCTGCTGGAGCACGATTAAGAGGTGAACTCGGAAGAGCAATATATATCTCAACTCATTTCGACTGACAACACCATGGTGTAATCATTGATTAGAAATCCACTATCCTGATTATCAAGGATGCGGCAGTTGGATTGCAGCTCTTTGCAGCTTCCAACCCTGAGTAGAAAAGATTTCCGTCCTAGGATGTCATTTTCTTGGCATCAGATGTCCGATTTGCTGGCGATACCGAGACCACTTCGGCGATGAGTTCGGCGAAGATGTTGATCGCCTGGATGCTGATATCGGATAATCCATGAGACGCACATTGACCCTTGAGGTGAATTAGATCGCATTTACTAGCAGTAACAAACCAGGGAACCGCGTTGAAGTGTTATATGTCAAGTAATTTGTAGCCAATCAGAATCCACAGAAAAAAGCATAATAGGGTTGCTGATAAGGTTATCGATAAGCGATAATATACGCCGATACAGTTGATCTTGACCTCAAACGTTCTCTGCCATTCAAAACCTTTCCAAGGGTATATCACTCTATTATCATTAATATCCTTGTGCTTCTCTACAAGAGCAGAGTGCTCTCCCTACACGAATCATCTCAATATTAACCGATCTCACCTCGGAGACTATTGCAACAGATTACCCGAGAATCCAGCTCTCCGACTCAGAACCAAGCATGCTCCACGATTACTATTTCTGGAGATCCAATGGAGATACCAGTGATCCGATATGATGATTTCGATGATCACCACGTATTGGATCTACACCGAGGACCTACCCCTGGGTATATTAGACCCAGCTGATTCCGGGTGCTTACCCCGAACATCTGGCGACGATGGACCAAATTTTATCATTCTGCCTATTTCGATTGGCAGTTCTAGAATATCGGAGTAGCAATTGAAGGTCTCGGTCACTTTTGATACCGATGGTGCCATGTTTAGCACCGTATAAGGTCTGCTCCACCTTGCGCCCTCCGACGACACAGACGACAACTTCGCCGAACGTCTCAACTTTAATACACGGTTTCGCCGTTTGTTCGGCGGCAGTTCACCATGGACTATTCACGTCCTTATCGCTCAAAGCGTCATCCCCCATGCGATCAATGTCGTCGCAAGAAATTGCGGTGCGATAGGAACGCAGGAACTATTTGCCAGCGATGCCAGCAGCGCAACACGCCCTGTTCATTTAATCAGTATCAACCAAGCGAGCCATCTCCATCGACTGTACTTCCGGGTTCTGTTCCTCCAGTCCCAGAGTTAGCTCCGACACCTGCTCCTGCTCCTGCTCCTGCACCGGTTCCGCCTGTTTTCAGTGGCTCTCCTCTATTCCCCATCGGGACTCCAATTGATCTCCCGTTCAACACTGAAGCCACGCCAGGGCGATTCGGCCAGACTGTACAGACCCTTGATCAACTTCCTGGTTTATCAACTCAGGTAATCGGTGCGTCAGGCGAATCTGATCCATGGCTACTGCGACATTGCCGGTTCGATGATCGTGGTTTTCTCCGGTTTCATCAGGTTCATTTTCGCAATGCTGGAGGAGTTCCTCTTGACGAAAAAATCCCGGTACATTTTTTGGTGACGGTAGAAGGATTGTATGATGCATCCAAACAAGCCACAGGGTTTCCCAAAAGGGCACTTATTCGGGAGGAACTAGAGTCATTGTTTCCGTTGGAATGTGGACAACGACTTGTGGCGCTGTATGTATCCATCCCGTGCCGACATAATTGCCAGACACTCATGCCATTCAAAGCTTCGTCAAGTTCGTCTATCCAACGCTCCCGGTTATTTCAAGATCACAGATCGGAATATCGCCCTCACAACCAATTCCCGATCAACAAATCCTTCGCAACACACCTGTCCACCTCTTAGCCGCCATTTATGCATCCGCTCAACCATTTGCCAAATTCGATGAATATCTGTGTTTTGTCAACGCATACACCCAACCACCCACGGACCAATTGTGGCGCATGGTGCTGGAGCTTCTGTTGGAAGAAATCCATACACCTCATTTGTCCGTGATGCAAGCTGGCCTTCTCTACCTGCACAAACCACTCAAAAACAACGAACGCGCTCTCGCCGACAGTCCCTTTATCTGGTCATTTGTCGGGCTGCTGGTCGGTCTGGCAACGTCATTGGGACTAACACTAGAATGTCGTCCGATGGGCTTACCAGCATGGGAGAAACGGCTTCGTCGTAGGCTTTGGTGGGCGATCTATAGCGAAGATAAATGGCGTAGCCTGTTGATGGGAAGGCCGCCATATATCCGACACGACGAATGGGATGTGACGGACCTAGATGACCAGGATTTCATTCTAGATCGATCGTCTGACGATCAGGCACAGCAAGCTGGCTTACCCTTTCAGCAGTTTAGCCGGCTATCGTGTATAGCAGATGAGGTGCAACATGCATTATTGTAAGTCGCTCACCCATACCAAAAGGCAAATCTAACGCGGACAGCTCCCTGCGATTATCACAGCGCCTTTCATCAAACTTCTCCGAGTCCCTCCATGTTGCTCGCGCTCTTCTCCAAAAGCTCAAAGACTGGTATTCAGTTTTACCACCGCAACTCAAATCACAGACAGGGCACTTCACCATCGACGACCCAACACCAAAATGCACCTCCACCAGTCTACACTTTGCATACATCCTCCTCGAAATCTTCATCTTCCGCGCCCTACTCCGCCCCCTAGTCCGTTCCGCAACACCGCCGCCACTCTTCGAAGAAGGCACAGAGCCACTACCGACAATGGAAATGCACGATCCGGAGAGCTTCAACCTTGTCGACGATTATATCTCGGAGATTGTCGAAGCGGAAGAAATCGAACCCGTACCGGCTATTGAAATGACACGCGAAACGGGTATCGGGACCGTCAAGGCCGCGGAAAACTGTGCTGCCATTATGCTGCGGTTGGTGATGCGGATGGTGTGTAGTGATTTGGCTGGATTTTGGTATTCTTGTACGTTCTTTCCCCGTATATTTATCTACCTATGCGACTCGTCTACTAATGCAAACAGGGAGTCGAATCGGCTTCGCCACCGTCTCGAGCTTCATGCTAATATTGGTCGTCCAGGCTCCCTCCAGAGATCATGCAATCCGTGCAAGGCGACTGGTATACATGTGGCGGCAAGCACTACGTAGTCAGAGCAAAGGCTGTAATTTGATGGATCTGGCTCTTGTCCGGTTAGACGGGATACATTGGACGGGATTGAGTCGGAATTTCTATCTACCTAGACATGTTGAAGAGGCGCTCAACACGGACTGACCTCAAGCTAGTGGTGCATTAAGGGTAGAAGTAATTAGTTCAATGGCGGAGTTATTTAATTCGATGTTAGAGACACCCACGGCAAGACATGTGAGCATGCATGCAAGTAAGCATATACAAAAGAAGATGTAACCATGCGGATTGGGCACTTGCTGAATTTGGCATCCAATATGCCAATTGGACGGCGCGCCGAGTCCGACACGCATTCAAGTCCACAAGATCTTATCAAATACACGAATCAGTCTTTCAGCCGTGCAGACCCGAGTTCGCATCGGGAATTGACCCTACAGCTGCATGGTCCACCATCTAATCACATTTGCTTGCTTTCCTGACTTTGCCACCAGTTGCTGGATCATTATAATATGGGCCAATGCTGTATGTTTCCAGGAAACACCATTTACCTCGACCAATGTGGGTTTTAGGTCTGTAGTCGGAAATTTCTTTACGAGGATTATTCCACAGTACTTTTTATTGCGCACGGCTATCATGCATGAAATCGCATCAGTCACATTAAATTCAGACGAACTGTGGGGTTTGCGTCCGTCTGATCCAGACAAATGCCTATATATACTTTTCTAATGTGACAAATCACACTGCCCAGTGACATTTATATAAAAACACGAATGTGAATTCACATCTACATGTCTGCATTTTGCATGTCATCACATCAATATCCCGGGTCTCGCACTTCATCATCCAACCCAATCCACCAACAAGACACCTTCAATCGACTCCTGTCCAAGCCTTGCCGTCAAGGAAGCCACATCGGCACCCTCTCATGAACACGCATCGTATCCGCATACCCCGACACATGCCCCCCCAAACCTTTGGCTTCCTCGTAAAAACCACCAACATATCCCTAACCGCAACCCTCTCCTCATCAACCGCATAAACCGATGTAACACTATGCTTAAAATCATGATCCATAAACACCAACGTATCCAGGAAACCGCGATGCTGCACACGCGCCCTGATCAGCGCAGGGTTTGTCTCATCCAGCATCACGCCTGTCGTTTCCTGGTTATCGTGCATGAACGTGACAGCGCTGTCGGGACGCATGTTGTCGCTGCCTAGGAAGACGGTCATGGTGTGGTCGGAGCCGTCGGAGTGGACGCCTTCGAGGGCGGGTTCGCCTTGGAGCCCGGTTCGTGCGTCTGTGTGCGTGCGTCCGTTGAATAGTGTGGTTATCCAGTTAGTCACGTGGGGTGATGGGGGCGTCTTGGAAGACTAGGGCCTTGAACAAGAGCGCCGCCTGCACGACCGTATTGCCCTGAATTTCCGGGGGAGTCTCGTCGAACGTCCTAGGAATCTCGGAGTCATGACGACGGTAGTCCTCTTGCACAGTAAGCATGTAAGGCTGCTGCTCGAGACGCTGGATACTACGGGAGGCGAAGTCAATACTGTAGCGGTCTTGGAGGTATGTTTGGCGCAGGGCCATTATGGTGGCTATGGCTGAGTAGAAGTGGGCATTGTAGCGTTGGTCGTGGACGTTTAGGGTGTGGGGATTTGGCTGACAGGGGGTTTTGTGGCCGTTGGTTGCTGTCGTGGTGGTCATGGTTGAATAGAATCGGCTGATGGTTGGAAGGGATGTTTTCTTTCGCATCTTTATAGCACCGATGTCAAAATCCTTGCAACGACGATCATAGATTAACTCCAACTGATCCTCTGCAACGACAAATCAAAGGTAATCAATTAGGTTGGTCTGTCTTTCCTGAATGGGTGACGGACAGATATCCCGTCTCAAGAGAGCACCAGACAGCTGCAATGCAACCATACAGCAGCATGTGAGGATGGTTCAGGACTTAGCGCTACTTTCAGACCTCCCTTTACGTATTCACGTATTCAGGTGTCCTTTTGTTCAGCCTCGTATAGATATGCGCTATTTTCTACCTCTGATCTGCGCAGGCTCACTGCCACCTGGAGCACCTTGTGCACAGGCCAGGGTACTTGCAGCTTCTAGGGAACTGGGCGGTATGTGATGAGCGTGGAAGAGCTCTTGTCTCGTCGAATTTTTCTCGAAAGAGAAACGCTCTATGCAGAAATTTGGTCTTTGGCATAGCGTTGAGAAGGCACAGCTAATGCTAAAAATTCATTTCGCTTCTCTCCTATCTCTTCGAAGCCTTACATTGTAAGGTACCATTTTGGTCAGCAGTAGTTGTGATGAGCTAGGCCCAAGCCCTGTGAAACTCCCCAGCCGTCCCTTCCGAATACCTGATCTCTTCTGCTGACACGTCAATTTCCTGCATACGTACACACGACAGGAACACCTCACCACAGCGGCATGAGGCTGGTCATTGTGCAGATCCAGACCCCAAACCAGGTCCGCGGTATTGCAATTTGGCCTGTCTTCGTCACAGGCGGAAGAGCACTGATATCATTTGTGAGGCGGCTTTTGAGCTCACCAGTCCCTCGTACGGTTTTTTCGCGGATCCTATGGTTGTTTATTTGATCGAACTACCTCGACCGGCCTCTAATATAATTGGTACAGCTCACCCGATGTCCGGAACCGGGCCTCGTTGACTGAATATTGACGTTGGGTGTGCCGCTGTGTGGCCGGTGACGGGCTCAACTGTCCGAAGAATCCGTACTACAAAAATGCCCACGTGCGTCCAGACAGGCATCTCTATAAATAAGATTTCGGTACTCGTCGTACATACTCTGAGTAATGCTTTCCGGAGTAGTTAGCATTCATACTCCGTGGACCATTCGGTACCCTTATTGGCCATCGGCAGTGACAGCGGGTCTTTGCCGATGAACAGTGGAGATCCGCTGAGTTTATTTGGAACTGCAGAAAGCTATTACCCGATTCGGAACTGTCCACTGTGGGTGACATCACTAGAACATTGCCAAGGCCGGGGTACATCTTAGTATTCTCCCCTGGAATACGGCGTAGGCAACGGCCAAGGACTTACTTCGGCTCCTTCCAGACCAACGGCCAATGGACTAAGGGCTTGGAACGCATGGCGTATCGGAGTACCCCTGGGATGGATAGGTTATCGGCAACCGGCTTGTGGGCAGCACTCCGACTTTCTCCACCATGAACTCCGACATGGGTGACGTATAAGTCGGACCGGATCCCAGTAGCGATCACATCTTCAATCGCCATACAATGGCAATGGCAATGGCATCTGGATCGCTGCTATTAGGTCTTCTGGCCCAGCAGGCTGCTGGAGAGCTCCTTGTTCCTCACTCTCCGCCTGCAGGTGCTAGTGAGCCCGTACCAAAGGGAGTTTCTTCGTTTTCAATTGAGTTCTCATCAGTTGTCGACTACTTCGGAAACACGACTCATCCTAATGAGTATTCGCAAAACCTGCTATCCAACCTGAAGAATGCCGTAGGTGCATTCCCGAAGATCCGAATTGGAGGGGCTACACAGTAAGTCAATCGCGTTCATCATCGACACGGGATGAATCTAACGAGCTATCAGAGATCGCGCATTCTACAACCCCAACCAAAATGCCGCCATCAATCTAACCTACGAAACCCCCACCGACGACCAACCCATCAAAGTAACCTACGGCCCCGACTTCTTTCAGTCTTACCACGCCATCCCGGGCCTCGAATTCTCCCACGGCCTGAACCTCGCCTACAATGGCTCCGACCAATCCACCCAACTCTCCTCCGCCGCAGCAGCTGCCTGCAAAAATATGGGCTCGACCCTCCGCCTCTCGGAGCTGGGCAACGAGCCGGACTTCTACCCGGGATACCCGAGTTACAATCGCCCGCCGAACTGGACTATGGCGGAGTATATCCGGGAGTGGAATTGGAAGACTGGGGTTGTGGCGAAGGCTATGGAGGAGGAGTGTCCGGGGGTTAATGTAGGGGTTGTGGCGCCGAGCTTTATCTGGAGTAATTGGTCGGGGAGGGCGCCGTGGGATCCGCAGGATGTGTTTAGGATGGGGTTGGATAGGAGGTTTATCCAGGAGATTACTATGCATAAGTGAGTTGTTCCCCCAAGCAACAATTTGATGTTGGATGCTAACGGCTGTAGCTACATGGACACGGACTGCGAAGAACGTTATGGTCTCACAGATTTGTCTATGCAAAGTCTCCTCATGAACCACACTGGTGTCGTCGGCTCCCTAGCCGTCCACCTAGAGGCTGCCCGTGACCTCTCCTACCTCGGACTCCCATACACCCTGGACGAAGTCAACGGAATGGCCCTCCAAGGAGGCGCCTGGACCTGGAGCATGGGCAGCGCACTCTGGGCTGTCGATTTTGCCCTATGGTCTGCGACAAACGTAAGTTATCACCGCCGTCTTACCGCCATCTTCTCTCATGAACAAAACTAACACAGTGAAAAATAGAACATCAAACGCATCAACTTTCACCAAGGCACCGGCTACCGCTACGTAGCCTGGCAACCCGTTCCCGTCGACGGCGCAGAACCAAACACTCGACCTCCATACTACGGGCAGATAATGGTTGCCCATGCCCTGGGTGATTCCAACTCCACCCGTCTCGCCAACATCCGTCTCTCTGGAGACACGGAGTCCGCCTACGCCGTTTACCACAACAACATACTCTCCCGCCTCGTGGCCCTCAACCTGGAAGCATGGTATGCCAACTCTACGAGCCCACGACCAAGCAAGGAATACACCTTCCGCGTTCCTGGTCGGTACACCACAGCCAATGTCCTGCGATTCATGGGTCCAGGTGCGGACGCGCGCTCGAATTTGACCTTTGGAGGCATGTCGTATGATTATGAGCTTGGTGGTGGAAAGCCGGTTGTTATTGATGAGATGAGAAAGAAGGAGAGGGTTAGTGTGAAAGATGGGCTGGTTAGGGTTGAGGTATCGGCTTCGTCGGGGGTTGTTTTGGTTTTGAGGTAGTTGGCCTGTCAGATATAAACATGCCTATAGGTTTCTGGATATGTATCTGTCTAGATTTGATTCTACTATGGGATACAACAATAAATGTGATCCGGTCATATGATTGGTCAATTCAGAGGGCAGTTCAACAAACAATGTTGTAACTCTGCCCCTGAAACGCAATCTCGTATTTATCTTCACATCCTTCCATATATCTCTTAGGATCGACTACATTCAAGAAGAGGATCGGTAGAGAAATGTACATCTCAGCAAGAAAAATCATCCCAACGCGATGCATGGACTACGACGACGCCCTCTTGGACCAAAGCGACCAAGTCTTTGAACCCTGGAAAAACAAGATCTTCGAACACGAAACTCTCCGCGAAATAGGAAAATTCATCGACAAGCACAGAGGAGGTCTCCCCGACGAACTCTTCTCACCAAAACGGGGCGCGTTTAACCTGACATTCAAGATGCGCTTCAAAGACGGTGGCTCAGCTGTGATTCGGTTCCCGTGTCCTGGCGCTTCGATGTTTCCAGAGGAAAAGGTGCAGCGTGAAGTTGCGGTTATACAGTTTCTCGAGTTTTATACCAGTTTGCGTATACCGCATGTTCTGCACTATGGGGATGAGGAGGAGAGTCCGTGTGGTCTGGGGCCGTTTATTATCATGGAGCATATCAGCAACGAGGGGGATTTTGTTGATTCTCTTAATATACCTGGCCGGTCAAGTCAGGAGAGGCCGATTCTGGACCCGTATATCTCGCAGGAGTTACTTGAATGTGTCTATGGTTATATGGCCGATATCATGCTTCAAGTTTCGAGGCATTCATTCACGGAGATCGGATGCATCACAAAAGCCAATGAAGATGACGAGTTTGACGATACATGGATAGTGAAACACCGTCCGCTGACATTCAACATGAACGAACTCGTCCAGTTAGGCGTAGTAACGCCAGAGCAGCTTCCCAGGGAACCATTCATGACAGCCTCATCATATTACCAGGCACTAGCCGAAATGCACATGATACATCTATCGTCCCAGCGCAACGATGCCATCGAGTCTGCAGAAGATTGTCGACAAAAGTATATTGCAAGATGCCTTTTCCGGAAAATCACCCGTGAATATCAGCTTTGCGAGGATGAGGATGGTCCATTTAAGCTATTCTGCGATGACCTCCGACCAGGCAATGTTCTCGCAGGTGTTAACCATCAGATGACTGGAGTCATTGATTGGGAGTTCACATACGCGGCTCCCACTGCATTTGCGTACAGTCCTCCATTCTGGTTACTCCTGGAACTACCAGAATTCTGGGACGATGGTCTGGATGATTGGACTCAGAAATACGAAGCAGTCTTACCTACGTTTCTCAAAGTACTCAAGGAAAAAGAGCAAGCAGCCATTGATCGGGGCACTTTGAAGAAGAGTGACCGACTATCAGGGCATATGTTGGAGAGTTGGGAGACCGGAGATTTCTGGGTGAATTACGCTGCAAGGAAGAGTTTGGCGTTCGATATGGTATACTGGGCGAAGATTGACAAAAGGTTCTTTGGGGATGGGGATCTTGAAGATCGGGTGAAGCTTTTGATGCCGGAGGAAAGGGAAGAGATGGAGGGATTTGTTAGGATGAAGATGCAGGCTAAAGAGGAAGGTGGCTTGACTGACTGGGGTGATGTGAAGGGTGAATTACCGCAGACTAGTGAGGACAATGTAGAGACCGGTAATAGCGAGACTTAAGTTGTCCTTGTGGGAGGTGTAAACGATGCTATGTTGTTAGATATAGAAGCAGTGTATGGCTAAGTCAGAGTTTGGTCCCTCATATTCTTACACATAAATGCATGTATACAAACTCGATTTTTTAAAAATACCATGTCTTCTCTAGTTAGCCAAGTGCATATTCCACCCTAGAATACCCTGCTGTTGATCACTGGTTAATTCAATACCAAAATAGTCCTTCAAAGCCTGCAATCGGCCCTCCTCAGAATCAAAAGAGCGAACAATCTCTGTCTTCCCACCCAAATTAACCTTAACCACATCATTGACAAGCATGACCTTCCCAACAACCCCGACATCCGCTGTAGAAAACCTCCCTTCCCCTCTCTCACTAAAAAATGGACAATCCCCTTCTCTCAGAAACCACACCACCAAAACCGTCCATCTATGCAGTGTCTTCGCACTAGCAAACCAATTCATCACTTCAAAATCCTCCTGGAAGAATTCGAGCTCTGTGAAGCTATAGAACGAGTTCCATTCCTTATCGGGCCCGTTGCGATATTGGTATATCCAGAGCTTCGGCGTCTCAAGTTGCTGTTTGGGGATCGTTTCGTAGATGAGACGGACCTGCTGAGGGCCGATGTTGGGAACGGCGGTTCCTGAATCTTCCAAGAGAAGGGGAGTGGTAGGTCCGTCTCCTCCGAAGGCGACATCAAGTGCGAATTTCTCGCCTGCTGGGAGGTGCACGATATTTACGATGTGGGTCCTATGAAAGCTTGTTAGTGGGTTTGCATTTCTAGGTTAGAAAAAAAGGTATTAAAACTATCCTTGATATTCCCCACTAGGCACTCCGTTGGTTCTCGTTCGGTTCCGGACACCCGTCATGTAGACAAAAGACCCTAATCCTCGCAACATGTGGTGGAAGAATATGCTTAATTCCATACACTATCCACCGCGCCTTCGGTTATCTGAATCCATCATCTTCTGGTATAGGGATGCTGGATGTATATCCACGAGATGCGCGCGGGAGTAGTGAACAGAAAGGTTCTCATGGGGGAATGTGGTGATTTGACATCTCATAAGGATGCGTAGAGACTCGGTTGTTTTGGGGGATTTGCTCGGGAATTGTGCATACTGATGGAAGGATTGAGGAAGGCTTAGGCGTTCGAGCCAATTCGTAACTTGTTCTGTTGAATAGGAAGATGCTTGGGTGCGGTTTTGGAGAACCATAGTGTTGAGTCTCGGTAAGCAATACTGATATTCCTAAAGACATGTTTGTTTACTCTCGGAATACATGCAATCTATCATTCTGTGTGTTTACTTGCCGATCCGGTTGAAGACAGTAGGCCGAGTGACTCACCCGATTAGGTTCGGCGCATTGTTCGGAGATATAGCGTATGACAAGATCTCGGCGATGATGTCGAATCATACACGCGGGTTCCTGATGTACCGGAGGTACCGAAAGTGTATATAAAAAGCCATTCAACATCCGTGTCCTCATCAATCTTTAAGCAAGTTCAAACATCATTATCATTCCCAAAAATGGCGTCCACACGACCACTAGGCCCACCAATCTCCTACACCCCGGCCTCATTACCATCAAACAAAATCCTCACAGGCCGAACTATCCACCTCGAGAAACTCAATCCAGACCATGCCATCTCCCTCTTCCCTCTCCTCGGCGGAACAGACCCCTCCATCACACCGCTATGGGACTACATGCCCGACGGCCCATACCCCGACCTCCCCACATTCCAAACCGCCATAACCACCAAATCAACCTCCACAGACCCCTTCTTCTACATTATGACTGACGCCCGCAAAACAAGCCCTACATACACAAAACCCCTCGGCTACATATCCCTCATGCGCATCACACCAGCCCATCTAACAATTGAAGTCGGGAACGTCATGTTCTCAGCCGCTTTGCAGCGCACGACCGGTGCGACAGAGGCGATTTATCTCCTGATAAAGCATGCATTTGAGGATTTGGGGTATCGGAGGGTGGAGTGGAAGTGCGATGCGCTTAATGGGCCGTCGAGACGGGCGGCGGTGAGGTTGGGGTTTACGTTTGAGGGCGTGTTTCGGCAGCATATGGTTGTTAAGGGGAGGAGTAGAGATACGGCTTGGTTGTCGGTGTTGAGGGGTGAGTGGGAGGGGGGGATTGGTGGGGGGTTGGAGAGGTGGTTGGAGGAGGGGAATTTTGGGGAGGATGGGGGGCAGAGGAGGAGTTTGGAGGAGGTGAGAGGTGAGGTTATCCATAAATAATTGGTATTTTGTGTTGTTTGCTAGAATGAAACTACCACGAGGGTGTTGGGAACCTTCGAATTGGGATAAACATTAAACAAAACTCAAGCATAATTAACATAACATCTTATCTCGTCATCACCTATACAATCACCGTGGCATATACATATGCACCTGCTGTGCCGACACCGCTCCTTGAGGAAACGAATACCTCAGCTGCTCCTGCTGCTGCGAGTACACCATACTATGATACGACCTCAGCGAAGAGTTACAGTCCTCCTCGCTCATCTCCCCTTCGTCTCCACCGGCTTCCAGGATCTTCTGCGGTGGGCTGATATGCACGTGGTGCCATTTCCGGAAACACAGAAGAACGCCGGCGTAGATTCCCAGGGTGCAGAAGAACTCGATGATGGTTCTGGTGGCGTCGAGGTATTCCGGGGCCATGTTTGGTTCGAGGACGTAGATGATTTGCAGGATGGCTAGGACGAAGTTGATGAGGAAGAAGAAGAAGCTTCCCACGGACAAGGGGACGAGTCCAGCCTGTTTTGTTAGCATTTCATTGATTGAGCATGGGATGTATAGACGTACCCTCCGGTCAGGTGCAGAGCTGACAAAAACAAAGATAATCCAGCAAAAGGCTTCCAGAGAAGCCAGCCAACAGAGGATACTCAGAGCTGCAGAGACTTTGTTATACTCATATGCAAGCTTCATGTACCTTTCACCCACGTTGATACCCTTGACAACAAAGGCAATGTAAAGCGCACATTCTGCAGCCGAGAGCGCGGACAAAATTCCCAATAGGACCCAGTGGGCGATGGCCACGGGAGCAAAGGCCTTGCTGGGCTTATCCTCTGCCAGCCGCTCGAGCAACTTCTGGATGAGTTTCCAGAAGATATAGAAGCCCAGCATCACGGCAATGAGGTAGAAGATTTGGTTGAGCATAGAAACGATAACGTAGCTCTGTTGAACATTGGCTTTGAAAATGCCCAGGAAGAGAGTTATGATGTTCATCATCCTCGCGCTATTTGCTGTTAGTACACATATCACTTTGCTTAGGAGGAGTACTTGCATTGCATAGCTCAAAATAGACGCGATAACTGTCTTTATAGGCAGCGGTTTCTTCGGATCACCCCGTGGCTGTCGGATGAAACACGACCACACGAGAAACCCCAGTAGTGCAGCAAGACAGAGAGCCTCGAAGACGAGCCAGACCTTGGGATAGGCCTCGTCGAAGCCGTAGGCCGTCACCTGGACCTTTTGCTGCCATGGTGACTGGGCGTTGGATGATGAGTGGGCATTCATTTGCGATCCCATAATGCGCTCAATAGTATGTGCTTTTCTAAATAAAATGAAGACAGCTTCTAAAGAAAAAGTGGTCCATCGTGCAGATTCGGGCGATTTTGTAGTAGTCGCGACGAAGAGAAATCCGCCCCAGGCTGAGAGCAGTGCAATTGGGGCCAAAACGAGGCGGATTCGCATTGACGTTGAGAATTCTCTTGGTTCGTCTCATGTTGTATATGTCTCCCTAAATTCCGATTACTCTGAGTTTCTTATTGATCTGGAGCCTGACAGTCTGCCAGTGTTGTTGATGTTGCGATGTTTCTCCGATGAATGAGCCGAACGACGATCGCGCCGCCACAATGCTTTGTATGAGAGACGATCACGTTAAATATAGACAGAGACTTACAGTTCGTTAGTCACGGCGAGTCTTGAGAAGTTTCGAACATAATCAGGGCGTAATACTCCAAGGCATCGGATTGCCTAATCGGGCCTGTATGGCTTCATCTTTCTCCGAAGTGGCAACCGGCATTCTCACTACAACCACCACTTCCACCACGGCCATGAACCAGAACCACAAGACCGGAGATCTTTCCTGATCACCGCTTACTTCTCCTATTTCGAGTACATGTGTACTCCCATTAGAAGCGAGATCCCTGCGCCTGCGCCTGACTGCAGGTGAATTGGCAATTCTGATTCGGATCCTGCCCAGTGCCGGTTCAGCTCAGCTAGTGGCGATGCGCTCTGATGGTCATGATCTGGGATAGGTTCCTATGATCAGCCCAGCTCTTTGTCTATGTCTATCGTTACAATGAATTGCTTTCAGGAACTGCACGGGCATTGGGCAAATTCCAAGAAATGCACGACCAACGCATCAAGAAAGGACCGCCACGGCCCACGGGCGGAAAACGCGAGAAACCGCGAATGAGAGAGACAGAAAGAATGGAATAAAGAAAAGAAATGCAGCTTATTTGCTTGATTTGCCAATGTTGTTTGCCGTCAGCGTTGTGGCTGGACCTTTTTTTTTTTTTTTTTTTTTTTTTTTCGGGGATAGGGGCAAGTGCAGCTTTATATAGCTTCACTTGCTCTTTTTTCGCATTATTCTTATTCTTACTTTCAATGAAAGACTGCTATTTCTATGCTCTAACATTTCGATATAGTTGACTTTGTCCATCCTGGTCTCCTATTCCAGCACCGGGATACTACAGCTCGGGATCCCACTAAAAGCCGATATAAGCGTTAGGATAACAATAAAATACGTGATTCAGAAAGGTTTCATCTTCGGTATGTTAGCTTCCCTTCAAAGCGCAGCGCATGCTAATTCATCATAGTGGTGATTTATCCGGACCCCCATTGCAACGCTGTCGCCCTTGCTTGCGCAGAGTTGCATCCTTGAATAATCGGCCTGAACCGGGTCAATTCAAACGTCAGCAGACTTTCAAAACTTCAGTCCAAGAATATACCAGTCAAGCGACACGGAGAGAAAACCAGTATAGCCAAAAATGCCTCCCGACGGCTCCTCATTCACACCGCTGAATCTCCCATCTACATTCTCGCTCCCGCAATGCATGGAATACTTCTCTCTCACAGCCGGCCCCAACACCAACCTCTGGCGCAAACCCCCAACAGGCGACATCGCAACCGCGCCCATCGTCTTTACCTCCCTCCGGAATTCATTCGTCGTCGCCGAAGTCACCGTTAGCGCTGACATGGAAATGGAATGGGATCAAGGCGGCCTTGTCATCTTTACCGGTGCGACACCGGAATCGCTATCCCTTTCTTCTCCGGCGAGCCGTCGGACAACGCCGACAATGCGACCACGGCTCGAACCCGCCCGGACGTGTAAATGGGTTAAAGCCGGGATAGAATTTTGCTCGGGGGCCGTTCATGCTTCTTCAGTTAGCGCTACAGCCGACGGCGCGGATTGGTGTCTAGCCCCGTTAGATTTACCAGAGGGCGCGACATCGCCAGCTCTTCACTCGCTACGGATCAAACTAGAGCGCATCGGCCATTCGCTTTGGATCTGGTACCAGGTGCCCTCAGTATCACCGTATGCGCGCACACCGGGAGCTGTCTCTGGGACGTGGAAGAAACTACGCGAAGTGACCTGGTTCTTCTACGGGGTTGAGGATAAATTCGTGCATGTCGGGGTGTATGCCAGTCGACCCAATAACTCGCCGAACGATACTGCATGGCTTGGGTCTGGACTTGGGAGGTCATCGGATGGGTTAGTGGTCGAGTTTGAGGATTTGGAGATTTTCTAGCCTGTTCCCCCTTGGTTTGCTTTAGCGCACTATTCCCCGGCGTTGGTTGTGATTGCAACTCACGAGTCATGATGTGTTACCCGTTCTCTATTTCTTATGCCAAATACACTTAACCATTAATCATAATGCTACACAATACATGCAGTGATAAGAATACATAAGCCATCCTATTACACTCATGTCACTTTCCTTTTTGGGACGGGGCATCCCGAATAGGTATGGCGCATGATAAGCGATAAGGTTCCGGATCGTGCCGGCACTGCCGGGTTAGTATGCTTCCGTTTTAGGAAGGGTGTCTACTATACCGTGACCCGACTCAGTAATAAACGCCTATCCGAGCCGGGTAGAAAGCAGAATCATCCCAGGTATGGGGAGCTCCGACGTGCAGTAATTAGGAGTTGGGATGCAAGATGGTGTGTCTGATATCCTGGGAGACTTCCATCCAAAGCCTTTCCCACTCGGAAAAGCAACAGCTTGCGCGGGAACTCCGGTATTGTGGACGGATTTCTATCGATTGATGGCGAATTGGATAGATATCCGTACGAGGTATTGGGTTATTTTTGGGTGGCTTGTGTGGGTGTTGGATATCCCAGTCCATCGCCGTTGAGACAGCCCATTGAACGTCGATGGATTAGATAAATGACTCAGCAAGGAAGTGGAGAGGGGTATCTCTGTTGGAATAGAACGAACCAAGCTACTACAACCATGGCTAGCAACTTAGATCGCCCGTTTAACTGTGACCAGTGCTCGAAGTTGTTTACTCGGAGTGTAAGCAACTGTCTTCTCTTGATTCAAACGGGAACTGATCTGTTGTAGGAGAATCTACAGCGGCATAAGCGTGCACGTGAGTACCTATATATATTGCCAAAGGAAGCCGATAATTGACGTTTTGAAGGTCATGGCGGTGTTTCGCTCAAGAACTTCCAATGTGCTGGGTGTCAGGCACGATTCTCCAGGAGGTCTTGTTACACTCCCGTGTTTGATGAGAACCGACCCTCTGACAACTTGCAGAGACGTATACAAACGACACAATGGCCGTTGTCGCGCATTGTTATCTCCGAATCAAACATCCCAGCTGGAGCCGTGGGAACCTACCCCGCAGGCAGATGTTGATATAACGCCGTCGCTAGTCACGGATCAGAGCTCGATGGATCCGGTTATGATCACCGAGGCCTTTTCCTATGCCACTGGATTACCTCAATACTCATCTCCATCATCGGTGTATGCTACCCTTTGTTTGACGGAACGTTCTGTCATGTATATTGACGGAAATCTGACGGAACTCACAGCGACGATGAAGAAAGACACATCAAGGCCTACTTTGAGCATTCCCACCCCTCCTTTCCTCTGCTACATCGGCCCACGTTTGCCGTGTCTTCGACGCCTAAGTTGCTGGTAAAAGCCACGGCTGTCATTGGCAGTTTGTTTTCAAGTCAATCAGAAGCTCACGCGCACTGGCGTCAAGAGATGTGGGAAAGTGGTCAAAATGAGCTTCGGCATATGGTAGTCAACCTGATCCCCTTGTCTGCGCGTTTTAATCTGATTAATATCGAGATAGGCTTCCTATGATTTGAGTGAGGTTCGTCAGCCCTGGGTCCTACAAGCGTGGCTTCTACACATAATTTATGGCGCATACGCAAGCGACACAGCCCAATTCAAAACAGCGAAACAGATGCTGCGGCAACTCGTTGATGTTAGTATCCTTTTATTCACAGTACCTCGATTTGGGCTTACTCTTGGATAGGCTGTACGTGAAATTGGTTTATCGCAGCAGGAAATCGCCATGCCAGATTCTCAGTCTTGGATGTTTCAATGTGATTTGAGCTCCCCCGTCGACGACTCGAAAACACTGTATGCACGATGGATGTCCTATATAACCGCAGAATCGACGAGACTGTCCCTGTATACGTTGTTCTTCCTGGACTCGCAGACATTTACGTCTTGCAACGCTCGGCCATTAATGTCGCCGATGGAGCTTGGTTGGGAGCTTCCCTTTCCTAGCAGTTTATGGGAAGCCAGGAACTCCCAGATATGGCTGCAGAGAGTCAATGAGCATTTTGGACGCTCGACTTTTACAACGGCTAGTGATCTCTTACACGGGCCTCGCGGTCCGGCAACGACCTCTCTGTCAATAGCTACGCAGCAACTTATGACGGAGGCACCAAGCCCGGAACTTTTAGCGGCGCTGGAGACATCTCCATTTGCTGCATTCTGCGTACTGGCGAATTTAGATGCTTTGGTCAGAGATTTTACGCGGTGTTACTATCAAATGCCACCGAGTGCGTCCGATCCGTCTGCATTTCATATCCTCACTCAATCCCAGAATAAACAAATTTACACAGCAATACGAGCAATTGCAAGAATTGTCAAGGACCAGGCATACACCAGCGACAGCCCCCAGTTCCACCCGTGGAGGACGATCGAGCTCTTTATCTCTTCTCTCAGGATCAGCCTATGCCGCCCAGATCAGCTCTTGATCGGAGGTATCGTGGACAACAGCTTAATTGCTGGGATGGCCGCTTCCACCCATCTGACTCAAGGGAACTACGTCGCGATCCGACGATCGGTACCTATTTTACCGCAACACATCGGCAGCGATGAAGGCATTTTGGCTCTTCTCAATGACCTGTCCGGTGCACTGTCCCGTATCTCCGGTGAAGATCAGGAACAGGTGATCTATGAAGCACCGTGGACTACCGTTGCCAGCTACGGGGTTTTGCTGTGTATCTGGGGAGCGTTGAGACGCGCGACGACTGATATCCGTCACCACCTGGACACGTTCAACGAACTCCCAAGAACATCAGAATCCTGCATGTTAATCTTCAACTCCCTCATGGAGTCTGCCCTCCTCAGCCTCTCCGCTGAGAATGATCGAACGCCCCGAGATCCCCGTCTCTGGTGCACGGATCGAAGCGTTTTCGCCAGTCTGCTCGAGGAGGGTGAGTCATTGTTTATCAGTTTAGTGAAGATTTTCTGTGCGCGAAGACGCCCGTGGGGAATTGGATCTTCCATGCTAGCTGTGTTGGGTGAAATCCCGGACCCTAGTCCCGTTGCGAGGGCAGACTAACCCATGCGGAGTTCACTTATCTGAGGGGGTGGAGGGCATCCCAGCACCAAGTGGAGCTCCACTAGACCTATTCGACCTCACTTGATTTGGTCGACACGGAATCTCTTATATGTTTATCATGAATGCAGCAATAGAGCTTGAGAAAAGCTTCTAAGTTCAGCAATCGCATATATACAGTCAGAATAATGTCTACGTCGAGAGTCGGCTGGGTATGTTGTATTCGTTTATTTAGTTCTCCGCATACTAATCGGACACCAACAGTTTGGTCTCGGATCCATGGGACTGGGCATGTCTCTGAATCTTCAAAAGCACCTGCAGGCGAATGGCTGGTCGCCACTCCGTTATAGCAACCGCACTCTACCAAAAGGACAACCTCTTCAAGACGCGGGAGCCATTCCTGAAGATAACTTCGAAAAAGTCGTCCAGAATTCAGACATCATATTTACAATGGTGAGAGAGGTCGTATTCCTTTGACCACATGCGATGAACTGACAGGAGAAAAGATCTCCGAGGACGATATCCTGATCGAGTTACTGGATCAAGCTCTATCCGCGGGTGAATCATTGAAAGGCAAAATATTCGTGGACACGTCTACTGTTCATCTTGATACATCTGAGCTAGCTGCACGGCGTCTGAGCGAGCATGGTGCAACATTCATCGCTGCTCCCGTGTTCGGTGCTAGTCCTGTGGCAGCCGCTGGAAAGCTGATATTCGCGGTAGCCGGGCCTGCCGATGCAGTTGAAACAATCAGACCTCTCATCATAAACGTCATGGGACGAAGCATCATAGAAATGGGCGAGGAAGTACGAAAGTCCAGCCTCCTAAAACTCTCCGGGTAAATCCCTTCAACCCTTCCACCCACCACCATCAAACCCAATCTAACCAACCCCCCCTCAGCAACATCCTCGTCATAAGCTTCATGGAAGCAATCGCCGAAGCCCAAGTCCTCGCCGAACTAACAAGCCTCGGCACACACCAACTAGAAGAATTCATCGGCAACATGTTCGGCCCCGTCCTCGAAAGCTACTCCAAACGCATAACGACAGGCGCCTACGCACCATCTCTAGACACGACACCCGGGTTCACAGCAGCGCTCGCATGCAAGGATATGAGGCATGCTCTTTCTATTGCGGATGGTCATGGAACTCGTCTTCCAACGGTGGAACTGGCGTTGGGGAGGTTGAATTCGGCGAGGGAGGTTGCTGGGGAGTGGTTGGATAGTGCGGGTGTTTATGGGACGGCGAGGGTGGAGGGGGGGTTGGCATTTTGGAGTGGGAATAGTCGGCAGGGGTGATTTACTTGATTGTATGTATCTATGGTTTTTTTTTTTTTTTTTTTTTTTAATCTTCAGTCTTTCTTGGTCTTTCTAGTTACCTTTTTACAGACATCTGCCGTCTTTCGATTTTGTTACCGTAATACCCAGCACATCAATGGCAGCATGTGCAGGTCGATCTTCGTCAACACTTGCTTTTCTTCTTCGGGCGTGAACTCGACGACCGTGCCGCCGGTCATCTTCAGCGCTGGGTCAACATCTTGGTCTTTTGTAATGATCTCTCCGGGCTGCTCGTCCTCTCCATGTTGCTCGCCAATGCTAGGCGTCTTGTCTTTGCCCATGATCTCTGGTTGTATTTGAATGAAGTGCAATTGCAAACGGCGAAATTGGACCAATGTCAGTACTAGGGAGATACTGGAAATGGCAACTCTTGTGGGGCTTTAAATATCGTCTCTACAGAGACCAATTCTTATGCTGCCAGTAGGCCACGAAAAGTGCTTAGGGCGCGCATCCCGTGCGACTTGATTTGAGCGGCCTTTAATCTCTTATCAGCGAGATACTAACCTGGCTGATAACGACACGGGCCCGTATAAGCCCTGGACATGACTAGGATAGACGGAAGTATACTCCCTCCACCTCCACCTCAAAGTACACTGCGGAGTATATCTACACGGTGGTGCTCCACCGAACGATCCCCGTCCTGTCGCTCGGCGTTTGGCCGAGAATGAACGGGGTTAGTATTTAGCACCCGCCGAGTGCGGGCTCTGATAAGACAATCGCGTTTCGAACAGAGCAAGTATTACCAATGGCTTTTTCACCGATTGAGTCGTCGCCGTATCTGCAGAGGCTTGGTCTCGGTGTGTATCGGAAGTCAGTTGTATAACCAACTTCGCAATTTCTTCAGGCTCAAAAGCATGGGTGCCGCAATAAGGATGTGGATTATGACCGTCCGAAGGATCCGGAGAAGCATACGGATCTTTCAATTTTGACAAGAAGCCGGTCAAGGGAGACATGGCTATTTCCATTCCCGTCGTGTAAATCTACGCCGTTAGTGTGTAGTATAAGAGTGTTGAATCGTTTTCTTGCAGCTATCTCGAATCCCTGCTACCTCCCAACACGTCAAGTATTCGCCTTCAATGTTTTGTCTATGCAGTCAGCCACATAACGGACATTCTTCCAGTTGAGCCCAGCAATAGACACCCTGGAGCTTTCCGCCATATAAATGTGGTATTCCTCTTTGAGTATATGTTAGCCAATTCGTCGATCCTGTTCAAGAGGTAGACGCTTCCCTGTCACTTACTTTGTAAATGGTTAACTTGAGCAGGCGTCAAACCCAAAATACAAAACATTCCCTTCTGCTCAGTTATGCGTCCCCAGTCTCCAGGCGTACCTAGTAAACAATCAGATATATCTTCATTCACATAAGGAGCGTTTCAAAAAAGTACCCAATTCCCTCAAGCCTTGGTACAATTGCCACCGCATTTCCGCAATTCGAGAACTCATCGTGACAAGATTTCGTTTCCATTCTGCATAGATACCCTCGTCTTCTAGGACTGCAGCCACAATGCGAGCACCAAATGCAGGTGAGTTTGAAATTTCAACCCGGATCAATTGAGCCAAAGTCGACTCAACAGCAGTTGCAGTCGTACTAGTCTGCGGAACAAGGCAGCACAGTCCGACACGCTCGCCTTCAAACATTCGGTGTTGGTTAGCTAGAGCATGACGGCAAAGCAAGCAGGAGAAATGGTTCCATACCGTAAAGACCCATACTCTTGGCAAACGAAACACACACTCCAATCTCAAGACCAAGCTCCTCAGCAAAATACCGAATAGCAAAGGCATCTCGCTCGTAATCCCCCGACGTCAATCCCAAATACGCAGCATCAAACAAAGGGAAAAGCTGCCGTTCCTTGACAATTGCACCGATCTGTTTCCATTGCTCAGGGCTGGGGTCCCAACCACTTGGATTGTGGGCACTGGCGTGGAAAACGAAGATGGATCCTGGGTGTGCTGAGTTGAGGGTTTTAAGGAATAATTCCATGTCGATGCCGGTGCTGGAGGAATATTTGAACTCGCGCACTGCGAATCCCAGGGATTCGAAGACCTGGCGGTGGTTAGACCAGCTGGGCTTAGTGATGTATACGGTCTTGTCGCTACCAAGTGCCTGGATTAGCATTTTTCCTGCGATATGCAGTGCTCCTGTGCCGGACAGCGCTTGGCAGGATGCTACCTGTTGGTATATTAGTTGTCGGGATCATTATTATGAGAATGAGATAAGCGGGATAGTTATACCCTTCCTTCCCTAACAACCGCAGACTTCCTCCGAAATACCAACTCCGTACCCAGTGCACGAAACGAAGGAAGCCCCAGGATCGGGAGATATTCATGGTTCGCGTCCTTGATTTTCTCCTTGGCTTCTCGCACAGCCGGCAAGATCCAAGAGTTGCCATTTTCATCTTTATATGTGCCTTGTCCGAGGTTTACTTTGCATGGATTTGGATCCGCATTGTAGGTTTTGGTGAGCTCGAAGATGGGATCCGGGGGCGTGTAGGTGACACTGTCAAAGAAAGAAGGAAGAATCGAGCCCATTGCAATGATTGCGGATGTTGTGCTTTTTCTCAAGAAGATTCCAATATTTTAACATCTCGCTCTGAGTCCTCTTACGTGAATCGATCCCCGCGATGCCCTATCAAACAATGTGGAGCTCCACTTGCAACGCGATACAGTAGCGGGGTTGATGGATAAATTGAAGACGATTCAGAAGCATAAAGGCAACTAAATTCAGCATTTGTCTCTGATTAATTATGCAAAGCTATCAATTACGCAAAAACCAAAACCGAACGAAATGTCCCCCGCAAAGCCCAACTTCGGCGTCTACACGCCCCTAGTGACATTCTTCCAAGAAGACGAATCTCTTGACTTCCAAAGCACCTTAGCTCATGTCAAGCGCATGGCTGAAGGCGGAGTCGCTGGGTTGGTGCTTCAGGGAAGTAATGGCGAAGCTCCTCATCTGGATCATGCCGAACGCAAGGCTCTGGTACGCGCCGTACGCGACCATCTCAACCAGCTGGGCTTTCCGGGACTACAGTTGATTGTTGGCTGTGGTGCACCGAGTGTGCGAGAAACGCTGTCCTATATCTTTGAGTCCCGGGAGTCTGGTGCGAATTTTGCTCTGGTGTTGCCTCCGGCGTATTGGGTTGCCGCGATGAATGTGCAGGTTATTGAAGACTTTTTCCGTGATGTATGTAACAACTTTCCCCAGTTTTATCAAAATTGGGTATATGTTAACAGTATATGATCACGCAGGTGGCCGCACAATCAGAACTCCCAATCTTAATCTACAACTTCCCCGGCGTGACCGGCGGCATCGACATTACTTCCGACTCCATCATCCGCCTCGCCCAAACCACTCCAAACATCATCGGCTGCAAGCTAACGTGTGGCAACGTGGGGAAGCTCCAACGCATTACCTCAGCGACTCTAACAGACTCATTCGCCGCGTTTTCTGGGAAGTCGGACTTTTTCCTGCCCGCGCTCGTAGCCGGTTCGAATGGGGTGATTGCCGCACTTGCTAACATTGTGCCCAAGGTACATGTGGAGTTGTTGCAGCGCTATGAGAGAGGTGAGCTTAAGGCGGCGCAGGAGTTGCAGGCTAAGCTTAGCCACGCTGACTGGGCCCTTACTAAGGTGGGCATTGCGGGTGTCAAGGCTGTTGTGTCGCATAATTTCGCATACGGCACTGGGAGGGGGCGAAGGCCACTTGGGAACATTACTATTGCGAGCTTGAGTCAGGATATCGTGGGTTCGATTCAGGAAGTGGTTGACCTGGAAAAAGCACTATAGAGATTGGTGTACTGCAATGAAGGGGCATGAAATGTAGCTATAAAGAAAGCATAAGAGTAATACTCTCTTCCTCTGAGATAACAAAAATATAGGAGATACTCTTCATTGCCTGGTTCACAAAGTCAATTCTATAGAATATGAGATGGGGTGTACGAAGAAACTAGCAGAGGCAAAACGAAATATGTACGAAAGGAAAAACGATAAATTGATGTAGGGAGCTAGAATACAGGAGGGCTACATGGCCATACTTGTAGTATATCGCATAAAGGGATTATTTATGTAAGAAGAGCAGGCATTCTGTTTAGGTACAATCAGATATATGCCTACAAATTCTCTGGGCTTAGCTTTGCCCTGCTGCAATTTGATTCTATCTATAGATGAGTTGACCCATGAGAGCTTCATTATAGAAGCAAAAAGAATATGACGCATTATAGTATTGACTGGATAATCACTTTCACTAACAATTGACTATAAAGTCTCTGAAATCATCATCTGGTAACTCCGGCTGTACATCCTCCCCGTCCAACAAACCAAGATACCATGTCAAATCACTACCATCAGACTCGCGCGCCGCAAACCCATTGCCCAAGTATCCAAAGCGGTTGGAAGTGGTATAAGTAAGGTTGTAGTCCTCCCAGCGAGGCGCCTTCATGGTCTCAAAGAAGTGAATTCGAGAACCCGGCCACATCATAATCTCGCCATCGACCGTTCCCTGCTTGAACCATGAACTGCAGGGAGACGACCATGCCGTGCGCGGCAGAAAGTTCCGGCGGTGCTGGACGAAATCGGCGACAGCTTCCACTTTGGGGTCGAAAGAAGTGATGCCTTCTTCGGACATTTTGCGGAACATCATCAGGAAATGCTTTGATAGTGTCTCCGTAATGGGGAGGAAACTGCCATGGCCGTAGGGTCCGTATGGGCCGTTGAAGACTATTTTTTTGTTAGTGATTAGGGCATTGATTAATGGGTCAAAAGACACCTACTTAGATAATTCGGGAAATGCGGAACAGTGATCGAGAGATAGGTACTTGGAGCTTCCGCCCATTCTTTGATCAGATTGCGCGATTCACGACCGATGGTTGGATAAGAAGGCTTCCAACTGACATCGAATCCAGTGGCGCACACAATCACGTCGAACTCATGTTCGACCCCATCGACAGTCATTATACCCTTGGGCGTGATCTCCTTGATGCTCTGGGAGACAACAGACACATTTTCCTCACATATGGCCTCGAGATATCCGGCACCAGGGGTTGGTCGACGGCATCCTACAGCGAAATTCGTCGGAATGATGAGATCCGCCAGTTCTGGCTTTTTGGCCAGTCGTCGGCGCATGTCAGCCTCTGCGGCCTGGATATTGTCTGTTAGTTGGCGCTATCATATCATTTTATGGAGGTAAAAGGCACGGACCTTTCGGGCTTCTGCTTGCTCTTGGGATCCATTTAGGATAAACCGAAACCGTGAGTTCAACTCCGACTCGATCTTCTTGCGGTAAGTCATGTACTTCCTTGGGTTGTTGGCAAGGACATCTTTTTGCGTTTCGCTGTCTGAAATGAGAATTTAGCCATGTCATTGACAGCACACAAGTAGAAGAATATTGCTTACATTTGAAGTTGGTGCCTCCCTTTCCAGCGAAACGCTGACCGAAGCTCGCTGTAACCCATGACTGGCTGCGAATGAAGCATTTGAGGGAGCCAACCACTGTCAATTTTCGTCAGTATGCTGTTATACTTCTTTCCAGGGAACTTAGGGACTTACTTGGTTGGATATTGGGGACAATTTGCACCGCAGAAGATCCAGATCCAATTACTGCGACACGCTTTCTTTCCAGTTCAACACTGTCATCCCAGTTTGCACTGTGCAGCATCTGGCCCTGGAATGTTTCTCGACCTGGGATTGCAGGCCACTTCCACTTGCTACATGGAAAATGCGCGGTCAGCACTCACATTCAAATGTACCCAGAAATTAATTCACACTCACTTGAGAACGCCGCTCGCGTTTATCAGGATATCGGCTTTGTCCTGAGAGATCGTCTCCGGATCTTCGGTCTTCTGAATCGCGACATGCCATTGACAGCTATCTTCGTCCCATCGGGCATCGACCACTCTTGAATTCAAACGCATATACTTCATCAGTCCATAGTCATTGGCAACGCTCTTGAAGTACTGCAAGATCTCCGCAGCACCCGAGTAGCTTTATGAGACAGCGACCAGTCAGCGATGCTCTGTTTTCAATGGCCCTGCTTGTACTTACAAGGATGTCCAGTGCGCCGATGGTGCCCACGAGTATTGGTAGTTTACCGAGGGAATATCGCATGCGCAGCCCGGGTACTTGTTTTCAAACCAGGTCCCTCCGATCGAGGGATTCTTGTCGTAGCACACCAATTCGAGGTTCAACGGGCTGATGTCAACCTCGTGGGCGAAATTGATGGCACTGGCACCGCAGCCGATTACGATGATGCGAATCTTTCTTGCAAGTCTGCTCGGCTTCTCGATGATCTGATAGGGCGCGTTGTGTGTGTCGCCATTTGCGGAGCCGTTCAATCCATTGGAATGAAGTTCTTGCATATCGATCGATCCCATATTGGTCTTCTAAGTCTTCGGTGTGATATAATCCAAGTAAAAAAGGTATCAAGAGTCTGTAAAGATCAAATTCAGTAATTTGTGCAACTATTTCCCTTTTCTATCCCAGTCCGAATGGCTGCTGAAGTCCTGCCTATTTAGGGTTAGACACTCGCCGGTGGAGCTCCACCTCCACCCTCCGCTCTCCACCATCCATATCCTCCACTCCTCTTATCAGTGGGGTTTAGAGAATAGAAGTACAGCCGAGACAACACAGCTAAGATCCCAATAAACATGGACTGATTTCGCTGAAGTCGACATCATCGAACGTCTTACCATTCAATGCTCACCATGCCTGCTATTGATTCCCACCGGCCGCTGCGGATCTCAATCGGTGAGTTATCATCCGTAGGCAATACATCATTGTACTGATTGGTTATCAGACAGGGGCGGGACCTTTACGGACTGCGTCTGCAAAGTCGCGGGCCAAGAGGACATCGTGGCGAAAATTCTCTCGGTAGATAACAAGAACTACCCCGATGCCCCGACAGAAGCGATCCGCCGGGTATTAGAGAAGTATTATGGACAACCGATTCCTCGAGGTACTACCTTGGACCTCAGAGATGTGGGTAAGGATGAATCGTTCCCAGTCAGACGCATATTGGTGCTGACAATGTCTTAGAATGGATTCGAATGGGCACAACCGTTGCGACAAACGCTCTCCTCGAGCGCAAGGGTGAGCGCACAGCGTTCCTAATCACAGCCGGATTCAAAGATATTCTGCAAATCGGAAACCAATCCCGGCCGTATATGTTTGATTTGACCATTCGACGACCACAGCCACTATATTCCGATGTGTTCGAAGTCGACGAGCGAGTTATGCTCGAGCGCTGCAGTGATTCCAATCTGCGGTCTCTAAACCTTCAACATCCAAAGCCACTACAGACTGTCGTGGGCACTTCCGGAGAAAGGGTGCACATCATCAAGCCACTGGACGTGGAAGCCACACGTACGTATCTGCAACAAATCTATGCCGAAGGCTTCCGATCCATTGCTGTCTGCCTTATGCATTCCTACATCTTCCCGGGCCATGAGCTTCAGGTCAAGGAATTGGCAAGGGAAATGAGATTCGAGCATATATCTGTATCGCATCTGGTGTCCCAGCGGCCAAAGATCGTCCCAAGAGGAAATTCCACCGTTATTGATTCCTACCTCACCCCGACAATTGAAAGATACCTCTCGCAGTTCAGTGCCAGTTTCCCTAGCTTCGACAACGGGCACACCAAACTGGAGTTCATGCAATCGGATGGCGCTCTAGTGCCGGCTTCGAAATTGTCGGGATTGCACGCCATTCTTTCCGGACCAGCCGGTGGAGTTGTGGGCTATGCACGAACCTCGTATGATGCAGAGTCGAAGATCCCCATCATCGGGCTCGACATGGGAGGCACAAGCACCGATGTCAGTCGGTACGACGGGCAATTCGATCACATATTCGAGACCACGACAGGCGGTATCCCAATCCAAGCTCCCCAACTCAATGTAAACACCATTGCGGCTGGAGGCGGAAGTATTCTTGCCTGGAAAGATTCTCTGATGGCTGTTGGTCCCGAAAGTGCCTCCTCGCATCCTGGCCCCGCGTGTTATAGAAAGGGAGGGCCCTTGACGGTGACCGACGCAAACCTGGCGCTTGGAAGACTGATTCCAGAGCATTTCCCTTCGGTTTTCGGACCCAGCGAAGATGAGCCGCTGGATCGTGAGATTGTACTTGCGAAATTTCAAGAACTCGCGGAGATCATAAACCGCGACATCGACAAGTCACTCACATGGGCTGAGGTAGCAGACGGGTGAGCATCAAGGGATTCTGGGAATTCTCTCTTGCGCGGGCTAACCAAATTGGTGCAGCTTCCTACAGGTCGCGAATACGGCCATGTGTGGCCCGATCCGCCAGTTAACCGAAGGAAGAGGGCATGATGCTGTGAAACATCATCTAGCTTCCTTTGGTGGTGCTGGCGGACAGCACACCTGTGCCATCGCCGAAGCCCTCGGAATTCGACGTGTGCTAATCCATAAACATTCATCTATTCTGTCTGCATATGGTATTGGCTTGGCCGATGTCGTCCATGACGAGGAGAGACCATACGCAAAAGTATTCGATAACTCGACCAAGGACTCCATCTATGCAGACCTCGAGAACTTGTCACAAGTTGCGCAAAGCCATCCGACACTGGACCACTTCTCCCATGTCGACGGCCACCAGTTCCTGTTCATGCGATACGATGGTAGTGAGACCGCGATAATGGTCCCCGTCAAGGATGGCGCCGATCCCAAACAGGAGTTTATCGATTTCCATCATCAACAGTTTGGATTCAGCCCAGTAGATCGCAGAGTCTTTGTCGACAATATCCATGTACGGGCTGTGGCGCGAAGCAATTTTGGCGACGACACACCACCGAGCCTGCAAGCATTACAGGACATCAGCGAGAAACTTCCTCCCCCAACGCCCGCTTCGACCGAGTCTGTCTACTTCAGGTCTCTTAAATGGATGGACACGCCTGTATACCTGCTAGGATCTCTACCAGCGGGTATTACCGTCCAAGGCCCAGCTCTAGTAGTCGATAACACACAAACCATCGTGATCGATCCTCACTGCTCTGCGACTGCAACCAAGGATCTCTTAGTACTAGATGTTGGTTCCCAGAAGAAGCTAGTCAGCGCCACTGCTATAGACCCTGTTCAACTGTCAGTCTTCCGACACCGGTTTTACGGAGTAGCCGAACAAATGGGACGAGTTCTTCAAAAAGTCAGCGTGAGCGCAAACATCAAAGAACGATTGGATTTTAGTTGTGCGATCTTCTCGCCGGACGGCTCGCTGGTCGCGAATGCTCCTCATGTGCCGGCTATGATTGGGAGTATGGGGTTTGCTGTGAAGTCGCAGATTCAACAATGGACAGGCAAGCTGCGAGATGGCGATGTGCTGCTTTCTAACTCACCAGGTGAATTGATCCCAGTTACCATGTTAAATCAGGCACATGCTTATTTCCTCAGAATTCGGTGGTGTTCATCTCCCGGATTTGACTGTCGTCACGCCTGTCTTCGATTCTGAAGGAAAGGAAATTATCTTCTGGACAGCCTCGCGTGGCCATCATGCCGACGTGAGCTCCCTCTCATACTCCCATCCAAGTAATAAAATCCTAATCTGCCTTTAGGTCGGCGGAATTCTCCCAGGGTCCATGCCCCCCTCTTCCAAGCGTCTCTGGGAAGAAGGTGCTATATTCAACTCCTTCCATCTTGTGCGAGATGGCCAATTTGCGGAAACAGAGCTGAAGCGGATACTCTGTGATGAGCCTGTAAAGCATCCGGGCTCCAGCGGCTCGAGATGCTTCCAGGACAATGTGACCGACATTAAAGCTCAGGTTGCAGCGAACAATTGCGGTATCCGCTTGGTTCGACAGTTGATTAAGGAATATACAATGGATGTGGTTCAGGTATGTTAATGGGGCGGCTTCTTTTTCTAATCGTTTGTATTGACAAGTTTAGATGTACATGGGAGCCATCCAAGATTCGGCAGAGCTTGCAACCCGCAACTTGTTCAAGAAGCTCGTGAAGAATTTCTCTGGGAATAAGATTTCTGCTGTCGATTACATGGACGACGGCACGCCGATTCACTTGGAGGTCACTATCAACGAGCAGGATGGATCTGCGGTGTTTGATTTCACCGGAACAGGTCCAGAGGTCTACGGTACGCTTGATTGAATTCCTGGTACAGAATGCTTATGTTTGATACTGATTGGTGATGCAACAGGCAACTGGAACGCCCCAATCGCCATCTGCAACGCAGCTGTGATATTCGCCCTCCGATGCATGGTAGACTCCGATATCCCCCTAAACCAAGGCTGCATGAAGCCAATCACCATGATTACCCCCGAGAAATCGCTCCTCAAGCCCAGCACAGAAGCGGCCGTCTGCGCAGGCAACGTCCTAACTTCCCAACGAATCGTCGACGTTATCTTCAAGGCCTTCCGCGTCTGCGCCGCAAGCCAGGGCTGCATGAACAACTTTACATTCGGCATCGATGGCGAAAACGGCTTCGGATACTACGAGACGATTGCCGGTGGTAGCGGTGCTGGGCCCGGCTGGAATGGGACTAGCGGGGTCCATACTAACATGACAAACACGCGCATTACGGACCCGGAATCCTTGGAGCAGCGGTATCCCGTTGTGCTGCGCCAGTTCTCTTTTAGGAACGGCAGTGGCGGCAAGGGGGCCTGGAACGGCGGCGAGGGAGTTATTCGCGATGTGGCGTTTCGCGTTCCCATGTCTGCATCTATTCTCTCGGAGCGGCGTAGTCTTGCGCCGTATGGATTGGATGGTGGCTCTGATGCACAGCGTGGCCGGAACACTTGGGTAAGTAGGGCTTCCGGGTTAGCATGTTCTATCGGAGGTAAAGGCTCGGTCAATGTAGAGCCTGGTGACCGGATGGTCATTGAGACTCCCGGGGGTGGTGGCTACGGGAAGATAGAAGACGCAGAGAAACCCGAAGTAAACATTTCGCAAACGAAGCCTTCTTCGTTTGTGCCTGTCGCGAGCGGGAGTGTTGCGGAGAGTCGTGCTCTTGCAGAGCAGGTATGAGGGAGACAGACTGAGACTTGTGGATAAGAAATTCGATAGATATATGCATACAACAACTGAAATTTAATAGTTTCTATCTTTTCTCTTCTTAGACATATTAGACACATTCAATAAATTTATCTTGGAAGGGGAAAGGCAATAGCAAAGTCTTTGAACTCGGAGACAAGGGTTTCGGATTATTCCTGAACTACTATTCAAGCGTTCTGTACCCGACTGGACTCCAGTGAATGAGCTCCTCTCGAGGCAGCACTCTCATCCGCACCGTGATATGGCCAGTTTAAAAGATCTGCTGATCACAATGGTATACAATATGGCAACGCATTCAAGATGCGAGTAGCAAGTTGCTCACGCTTACTGCAAAGTACTCAATATCCTCAATTTTATTTTCCCATGCATTCGTTAGATTGAAGGGTTTTAGTTCCAACTTCAGTCATTTGTGTACCATTAGTCCATCATCGGTGGTTCCTCCAGCATCGGCGGTGCCGTCCTCGGCGAAGCACTCGACATCCTCAATATCCCGAAGTATCTTGTTCGTTTCTTCGCTCATGCCCGTTAAACAAAGGACACGGGCTAGGACAACATGGACGCCCAAAATTGTTTTGTTCGGTAAGTCGACTTTATCGTCTGGTAGGTACGGCAGATAGTGTCTTGGGAAGCCCCGGTAAACCCTAATAAGGTAGGAGCTCTACTGCTCCTACGGCTCCCCTTTTTTTTTTTTTTTTTTTAGCATAGGTTGTGCCTTTTGTTGATACGGTTAAATTTACCGTCTCTTCAAACGCCATCTTAAAGCCTCCGAGGGCATGGTGTAGATCCCTCACGAGGGTCATGGCATTTTGGGGGTGATTGATCTGTGCGGCATCGCGAATATCCTTGAGCGCAGGGAGAGGCTCATGGAGGGATGAGCAAATCTATCCCTCAAAACTCATTCTCATGTTGTGCCGCTAATCATTGAAGATAGATGCCATGTGATATGGAATGATGCGTGCGCATTTTGTTGCATCGTGGGGCGTGATACCAGGGGTAAACGCTCCAATTATAAAATAGCGGCACCTATCGCGGGCCAACCGCATTCTGAGAGTATTCTCGGTACTTCTGGCCAGGACGCATGGGCAGGCTTGCTTACGCCACTTCACTCTCTATAGTCGCTGGGATACTCAGCAAAGCGCAGCGTTTCTCGTGGCGGCAAAAGACTTGCAAAGCAGGATGGATGCCAATACCCCAGGGCCCGGATAACCAAAAACCAGGGAAGGCGCCGGTGGGTATTGGGCGCTGATTGACTTTCCCTGGCTTTTACTATAACAAAAGGTCAGATAGGGCTGTAGGTAGTTGATGTCACGGGGCTTACTAGGTATGACGAGGTCATTCCTAAAGTGCTTGTCTTTTATCATTTCCTTTTTGCAGCATAACGGACAACTGCAAGGTCACAACACAACCAAAGAGACCATTGCCCCTTCAAGAAGATGTTCTTTAAGCATACGAAAAACGTCCTCGATATTGTGAAACTAATGCCCCATGACATGAGGTCCCTAGAGACACTGTTCAAGGTAATTTCAAGGTAATTCACGAGTCAGACGCAATCCCGCCTCTCCATAGGCATATTGTCGCCATGATCCAACTGCTTTTTAATTCAGACTTTTAACTCTCATATTGGCAGACTCTGGTCTTTGCACTTAAATGTAGGACCCGATATAAACTGCATAAAGGGGTTGAGGTCAGCAACTCAGTCGCTTGAGATTGATGTACAGGGTAACAATACTCTTATCTTGGCCCCTTCAGTCTTCTCCCATTCTAATTGTGTCCCCGAGAAGTCTCTCAAGGACACTTTCCTATGAAGATCCATTCTCTGTACCATCACTTTCTTAAGTCACTTGACTGAGTCCAAAGCTCGACATTGAATAATCCTTGAGGCCTCAACGGTTTCTTTGCTTCTGGGATCTTGGTCAAGTTTTCATATCTGGCTCCTAACGATTCGGTATTGTCCTCAGGCCTCTTTGATTTATACCTTCTTACCCTTCCGTTCCCATCATCTGCTATTTCTCTATAACAAGTGACGTTACTCATCGGTGTTTGTTCATAAGCACACTCCGCGCACGATCAGTGGACGATCATGGCTAATTTGCACGAAAGACACAAATTCGTCATCTCCGGGAACCGTTGCTTGTGTATCGTTGGGTAAGGGCGTATTAGGGTGGATTTTAGTCATTTGTGACGTCTGTTTATACAGAACATAGAGGAAATTTAGCGTCGCTCAACTTATCAATCAAAGTATGCGGTAATAGAATAGACGCATATAGCAATGACATGGCTGGGGTAGCAAGAGCGTTCGGATCCAGGGCAGGAAATATGTGCAGGATACAACAAGAAGAGAATCAGAAAGGTCTGTTTGAATGAAGACTTATGGTGCGTGAATGTACCCACCAGCAGTGAATATGAGGTTGGTAGAAAGAGTGAGATAGGGTCATGCTTTGGCTATATGGAGGAACGCTCTGGAGTAGTATTTAATTCGGTGCTTATGTTGTCTTCTCTATCTCTTCCAGTTAATATAATGGCAGTCTTTTCGCTAAAGCCCTTGTCTAGCCATAAGCCAATTCCATCCACAGCGCCTCGTGGCATTTAATGAACATCGAGGAGAAGGCAGTCCGTCCTCATGGCACAGGGTATCTCATTCGCCAGTAAGCTTTATCCAGAACCTTCTTGATACGCCAGCCATGCTTGCCCCGTGCCTGCTTTTCAACATCCTCCAGCAGTTCTTTAAGAATATCCAAGGAAACCCCACGCTCGCAAATCACCCGCCGCAAATATTCAAGAGTTTTCACATGGGCATCGCATGTGTACAAAAAAAATAGATGCGCACTTGGCCCGGCTGCTTTGTGCCATGCAGTCCAGTTCCTATCAATTTTTCGCTTACTTCTTGACAGAGGAGCCACTACCGGCAGTCCCAGATCTACGGTTTCTTTGGTTCTAAGGACTGAAGTCGGACGCTCAGGTAGCAATGAAATAGTCGATATGCTGTTAGAGAAAGGCTACCTGATTGAAACACTGGAGGGGTTCCAGAGCATGCACCACAAGAAGTCTCCATCACTGCAACTTATCGCATCAGTGACGAAGTCGGTCAATGTGCACAACGTATTCTCAGAAGCTATTGAACGAAGCGAATTGACAACAATCAATTATCTCCTCGAGCGCGGCTGCGATCCGAATAACAAATTAGATTACTGCGACTAGTCAAGCCTGGAGCGAGCAGCAAAAGCAGAGGATCCAAAAGCGGCAGCGCTGGTACTCGATACCCTCCTATGCCACGGGGCCAACATACACGAGCTGAAAGGTCGCGAGTCAGCATGCACCAGTGATAAGAAACACCTGGCCACTGTCAAGCGTCTTATTGAGCATGGCGCTGACACGAATCCAACGGAAAGTCTATGGATTTGGGGATCCGTGTTGAGCACAGTGGATAATGCGACAATATAGTCATCCAGATGCTCAAGCTTGATTCCCTTGTCCAGTAGCACCTCCACAATATCTTTCTGGTCATTTGAAATCGCTTCAAGGAGTGGTGCATCTTCTTTATGACCATACGGTTCAGTGCTGGATTCCATCAATAAGGAAACTATATCTTTATGGCCTTGCGAAATAGCCCTGAACAGCAATGTGCGTCGGTTGTCCCGAAAACTCTTTTGCCCCAGCGATCATTCTCAAGGACGAATTTTTAAGACATCTGTGAGCCCATAACTTGACGCTGTAATCACGAGACTGAAAGTCCCTGGCTAGAGCATGCGATACATCGAGTTCTGATAGTAGGATTAATGACATCTCGAGGGTGAGATTTCTTCGAAAGGAGCTCATATTACGTGACTGGCTGCCCAAGAGACACGTATCAAGCAGGTTAAGCGTTACTCACTTTGATATCAAATTCGCCAAATTGATACTGCATCGGGTGACGGAATTGAAGCAAATCTCTGATAAATACGAATAACCTACAGAACATGGTGTGAAAGCATACCCAGAATTCGGGCTCAGTTTATTTGTATCTTTGAGAAGGAATTACCGTCCAATTCGCAGCTGCGTACAGCTTGTAGACTTACTGACCATGTTTTCCCCTTGCGGTAAATGATACTGACCGTGAGGCTGTTCATAAGGCAGACAGCAACAACAAAGTCACATGACCCACACAGAACAACATCAACATCCTCTGACTTGTCAAGTCCCAAGATATAAGCCAACCTAATGCCCCTGCTAGCCCTCCCCAACGAACTCCTCACGGAGATAGCCAGCTACTTCAAACATGACAGCGATATATATGCTTTCATGCGCGCCAATAGCCGACTATACCGCCTGCTAGACACTTGTCTCTATCAACACAATGCTCGCTATTTCGATGGATCGGCTCTATCATGAATGGTTAGGAGTGGGGATTTAGCAGGTGCTCGCAAGGCTGTTGAGGCGGGGGCTTTGGGGAAGAGAAGTCAATTCTTTGACAGTGAGCTTCTTGGTTTGGCTATACATTCTGGGAATGAGGAGATTGTGGACTTGTTGTTGAAGAGTGATATGAGATCAGGTCCTGAGAGGTTGTCTTGGCTGGTTTCGAAATGTGGAAGGGAAAGTGATAGCGAAGGCCAAAGCGAAGGCGAAAGCGAAGTCGAAGACCAAGAAAGCAAGGGCAAGGACAAGGACAAACGACAATACCGATTTCATCGTTGGTCATCCTTGGCCATGGCACTAATGCATGGCAACGAGGCTGTGGCGCGAGTCCTGATCAAACACATAAAAACGTCACTAGAACAAAAGGACCGCGTATCAACACAGCTCCACATCTCGGAGAATGATGAAACGCCCTTGCAACAGTTGCATAGACTGGGTATCATCCCAAACAAGGACGGGGCACGAGAACTGCTCAAAAATGCAGCTGCCGAAGGCGATCTGGCCACTGTGAAATTATTCAAAGAGCACTTCCCAGTGGGACCAAATGACAATGAAACATGGCCTTTTAGACACAGAACGCCTTTAGTCCAAGCAGCAGTGAACGGCGAGATGGAAGTCTTGAAATACTTGCTCAGCGCCGGCCTTGACCCCAACTCTGATCGCTCCTCGCCAGACAAAACTCCCTTGTACTATGCAGCGCGCTAAAACCAAATAGAAGCTGCTCAGCTTTTGTTGGACCATGGTGCCTGTGCTGATCCTCCTCTAGGGGATCCTGAACATACCCTGAGACTCTTGAACACAGCTGGCAGAAGAGGCTTCACGGAGATGTCGAAACTTCTTCTGAAGCACATTGATGTGAACAGCAAGGTTCCAGGTAACTGCCATGAGCATGACTCTCTCATGGTCACAGCAGCAGCCTGCGGGATTACAGACCTTCTCCAGTTGGTCCTTGACAAAGACCCCGGCAGTTATTCAGACATTCCCTGGGGCAAAAGACGCTTCGTTTCAGACCAACGAACCTCATTGCTACTCAAGTCCGTAAGAAACGGCCATAAAGATGTTGCTGCCCTATTGCTAGATTACGGCGTCGAGCCATATGGCACCGTGAGCCAAAGCCCACTCCTCGAAGCCGTCTCAAGAAACCACGCAGACATCGTGCAACTGTTCCTAGACAGAGGACGCAAACTTAATCTCAAGGGCCGTGGCCATTTTTCCTTCTTTGGCTGTCGCATGTTCGATAAAGACCTGTGCCCAATTGGCATGGTCGCTCTATGCCATGCTATTAAGACTCCGTCAATATTCCGCTTATTACTCGACAGAGGCATCTATATCAACCCTGAATCAACAGCTACAATAGTCCTGAGGATAGAAATCGCGCGTTCGGGCAGTAAGGAACTATCTGACATATTGCGGGAGAAAGGCTACCTGGTTGAAACACCCGAAGAGCACCATGCCTACACCTCACTCTCCGCGGGAGATCCAGAAGCGGATAACCTGCGACTTATTGCCTCTGTCAATCCAACGGCGCCGTGCGTGATGAGCATACTACAATGCGCCATTCCATGTGGCGATTTAGTAACAGTCACCTACCTCCTCGAGCGTGGCTGCAATGCAAACCTAGAGGGTTTTATACAACCAGACGACCCATCAAGCGTCGAACTAGTAGTGAGAGCCTCAGATCCAGAAGCCGCGGCAGCAATGCTCGACGTCCTACTGCGCCACGGTGCCAATATAAATGCTCTGGAAGGAAGTCCTCAGCCAGAATGGCACGGGTACAACAGGGACGGGCAGCATCAAACTGCTATCCGGCTTCTTATTGAGCGAGGCGCGAGGACGGACTGGACAAACGGCAAATGGGTTAAGAATACCCTCCTGCACTGTGGGTATTACGTTCATTTCAGGACTATGCAATATTTGTTGCGGGTTATGTGTGATAGGGGGATGTCTTCGGATGAGTTCCAGCTATATAAAGGAAGTATTGAGGAAGCAGGGGGCTGCCACTGTTGGGGTATTGAGAGGGTTTTGGAAAATATTTACTGGAGGATAAGATATCCTGTACCATAAGTCATTATGCTACTGTCTCTGCTTTGCTTTGGCTATGTTGGTGGATGGTTAAAATGGAAGAGGAAGCATAACATTGAATGCAGATATCCCAATTCTCTCATGATAGATCAATACACTGATAAGCAGCACCTATATAATAACACAAGACCCATGCAGATAAACTCCAAGATGACAAGATGATGATGAGAGTAGACAAGACACACGAAAATGCAAACAAACCCCAGAAGACAAAATGCAGAAACCTATAGCACACTATAATTTAAACAATCTCGGCCTGGGTTCCGAGAAGACAATCTCTTCCAACCACCACGCAATAATCTCATTGACTTCTTTGGGTCTCTCCCAAAGCGCCCAGTGAGATGTGTTGATTTGCTGGTGGGTTAGATGGGGGATGGTTCTGGTCATTCCCGCGCCGAGGTGGGCGGGGAGGGCTGAGTCTCGTTGGGCTTGGATGAAGAGGACGGGGGCGGTGATGTGTTGGTTGAGGATGGAGAGTTCGTCTTTGTAGTTGATGTCGCGGGTGCGGTACCAGTTTACTGTTTCGATCAGCATTGTCTTTCTTTGGATAGGGGAAGGGGGGCGCGTACATGGACCGGCAAGACCATTTCGGGAGAATTCCTGCGCGTAGTAGTCGAGTTCCTGTAACTGTTAGCCCGAGCAATCCGATCCTGGGTGAGATGATACTAACCTCCTCACTCAATAATTTCGACGGTCGCAACCGAAGCAGGTTCTGTAGAATGACACCCTCCTCCACATAAAAACCCACCTGCCCATCATCCGTCCTACCTCCGTACAACGCAGACAGGAATTTCTTCATGTCCTCCTCGGTACGGATAGCGTCTTCCAGCTGCCGACTCCGGAACTGCAGTTGGTAGGCGAAATGTGGTGCGATTGTGGCGACAAAGTCTTCAAGGGGAGTGTATCTCCGTGTCGGAGCAGCAAATGGTACGCAGAGAGTGATTAAGTGAGTGACGAGTTCGGGGTGCCAGAGGGCAACGCGGTATGCCAGCGCAGCGCCCCTGCATTGAGTTAGAATCGTTGATTGGAGCAGGATAGATATGGGGACGTACCAGTCATGCCCTGCGAGGATGATCTTATGTACTCCGAGTTGGCGGACGAGTTCTTTGATATCGTCTGCACAGCGTCTGTGGGAGTATTGTGTTAAATCTCTGGGGGCGTCCTGTTCGAGTCAGTTCATTGGTCTGTATGCATCTGTATAGACAATACTCACTGTCCTCCCATATCCGAGACAATCTGGTGCAATCACCCGGAGACCCATCTCCAGCAACATGGGGATCTGATAACGCCACCCCATTGACAAGTCGGGGAAGCCATGAAGCTATCATCATATTAACATCCGATATTCCCAATTGAACAACAAAGTGAAGGAGACTAACAAGAACAATTGTCCCCCGATTCTCCCCCGATTCCGGTTGACTGTACAGATATCCTATAGCTGGTTAGCATTGATTCGTCGGACTGTCCCCTTACTGCTATATTCCCCTATATCCCGTTCACCAGACTCCGACCTACCATATTGTTTGCCATTGACATATGCGGATCGCTGCTCGATCCGAGGATCCCCTAATACATCGATTTTGTCCACGATCATGATTGAGGAATGCGAAAGAACAACAACAATGGATGAAAAAAGAGAGTATACAAGAGAAAGTAACAGCGAATAGAACAAAAACCGGTCAAGAAACGCTGTTCACCACCGACTTTTGGCGTATTTATAGCAAAAAGAGCAACTTGGAAAGATGACGCCCCCGCCAGCTGTCGATCACGTGAATACGTCAGGCAGACGATACATACGAATTAAAAAAAAAAAAAAAAAAGTACTGCACTGTCCAAAGCGAATCACGGTGATTAGTGGTAAAAAATTGTAAAATAACAGGGCTGGATATTATGCATCGGAATTGGTCCAGAACGGGGAAGGGGGGAAAAGTGATGTGACAGTTTAAGGCAACGTGAGGCGTTGTTGGGAATGAATACTACGGCCTGATATGCCTCGGTTATGGGTATTACATATAGCCTGGTCGGATATGCAGCTTGCTACGGAGTACAGAGTACTTGTACAGTAGGAATGCATGATTTTCTCTGCAGTACAGAGTATACTAGTACATACTACTACTTGTAGAATTAATAAATCACCGTGTCCTCATTGTCCTCCTCGACTACCTCACCGCCGTCGTCCGGATGGTCGGCTTCGCTAGGATCGGGTTGTGGCTCATGGGTAGTTCTAGCGTGTTGATTATTGTCTTCAAAGCTTTGATCGCGGTTAGTTTCAGCATCCACCCTGTCTGATGCCTCATGTGTTGTCTCCTGGGGCTCCCTGGTCTCATTCTTGCGTTCTGATTCGACTTCGGGCACTGGGGCCGGGTGGTCCGCCGGTTTGTCCTCCTCCACTTCTTTGCCTACCTGGGGTTTCGGCTTTGTTTCTGGCGGATTCTCCTCTTCGGTCTGCTGTGGCGGTGGATAACGGGCTTCGAATTCGGCGACTTCTCGGGCAACCGTTTTCTCTGTATCCTCGATTTGATCCTGGATGATATCTTCGTCTTCGCGTTGTAGTTCCCAAGGTTTGTAGTACTGCGAACGAGATATGTCAGAATCCGGACATGTACCATTGCGGTGTGCTGAATCGCTGAAAGGCTCATGATACATACCAATACCGGCTCTGTCCTGGTCTTTAGAAAACGAGCCATTGCTAATAAATTCGAGTGTCGGGTACGCATCTAAAAAGCAAAAATCATCAGTAATCCGTATGAAAGGCAAAAGAAGAAAAGAAAAAAAAAGAAAGAAAGAAAGAAAAACCTACCGCTTCCTCCTCATAAAGCTTCTGCTCCTTCTTCCGAATCACTAGTCTCTCCTCCCTCCGCTTCTTCTTCAGCTCATCATACTCCTCATCCTGCACCTTAAGCTTATCCTGCTGTCTCCGCTCAATATCCGCGCGTCGCCTCTGAGCAGTCGAATTCGAGCTCTGAGAAAGCGTCCCCAGCAGCGCTCCGAATAACCGCTGACCGCGTTTCCGCTCTTCATCCCGTCGTCCTCCTCTCCGTTGTTTCTGCTCCCTCCCTTCGTCTTTCTCTGAGGCCGGTTTCTCTGTTACTGTTTCGGTTTCAGTTGTCACTACCCCGGCAGATAATCTGCGCTCCTGCTCATTTGCACCGGATTCGAGGTTCTCTTTCTCGTGGTCATTCGGATTCGCATCGTTGGAGGCGTGGGAGTGGGAGCTTAACCGGCGACGTTTCGCGTCGGGATCGGTGATCGACGACTTGCGCTTCAGGGTGGGTTCTGCCGGAGGGGAGGAGACGGTGTCTTGGTCGGGGAGGGAGACAGCTGATGCGAGTCTATGCCATGCAGGCACTAATTAGCTAGCTGTTCGTAGACGTGAGGTGGAGTGACGAACTCTTCAGCCATATTGAGTAGGACAAGCAGTGGCAGTAGCAATAGGCCACAAAGACAATATAGAGGGAACTTGTAGAATCGAAGAAAGCTAGAAAAAGATCCAGTGGGAGCTGTCGGGAGTCGGAGTATGTCCAACTGACTTCCGTCGCATCCAAAAAGAGCCGCGCACGGGCCATTCACCGTTCTGCTTCCTTTTTTCCAACGTCTCTCCTTCACTCCTCTTCACTTTACACACCTCTACTCTTCCTCTACTCAACACCTCTATCCTCTCTATACAATTACACAGTCTCCTTTGAACAAACAACAAAATGTCCCGCCACCACCCCGACCTCGTCATGTGCCGCAAACAACCCGGCATCTCCATCGGCCGTCTCTGCGACAAATGCGATGGCAAATGCCCCGTCTGCGATTCCTACGTGCGCCCAACCACCCTCGTCCGCATCTGCGACGAATGCTCCTTCGGAAACTACCAGAATAAGTGCATTGTGTGCGGTGGCGAGGGAATCAGCGATGCCTTCTATTGCTTCGAGTGTACGCGTCTGGAGAAGGATCGGGATGGGTGTCCGAAGATTATAAACCTGGGAAGTTCGAGGACGGATTTGTTTTATCAGAAAAAGAGTTTTCGGAATCAGTGACCTTGGCCCTTGTCTTGGTTCCGTTTTTGTTGGGTCTTGCGTTGGTGTCGAGCGGTGTCGAGAGACGTGTCGAATCGAATCGATCGAGCGAGTCGAGTCGAGTCGAGCATTTGCAGCGCCCCTCGCTGTGGGGAGGATATGTCACAAGTTTACGGTTTCTTTTCTGCGTTATACCCCATAGCTAGTGCAGTGCGGTTCGGAGTTATGTATAGGTGACTACAGAATCTACGGGCGTCTTCCACAACGATACGAGATATGCAATTCACAGTCCACCCCCATGCTATCTATGAGACAAGTCGATTCGCCTTTACCTTCCGGGTCTCTTGGGTCTGGCGAACCCGCGCTTCGGACCTTCGTCCTGTGGCGGGAAGACTTCCTCACGCAGTCGATCTCCGGAGATCTCATCGGGACCGAATGCCTCGATCTGTGACTTGTCAGAAATACCGTTCATATTCAACAATGCAGATGCAATGCATACCTTTCTAGCGATCTTCAGTCCCTGTTCGCCAGCAATGACGAGGGCGTTGTTACGGGAACTGGCAAACAGCATGCGTTCCTTGATCTTTGAACCGGACGGACAGGTATAGATGAAGATGACCGCATCCGAGTCAGGGTAGTGATAATAGGTGTACTGGGGCGAGGACGAGGAAATATGAGACTGGACGGAGTTGGGGTCGACGCTGGATTCCGAACCAACCAGCTTGAGCGTCTCGGTTTTAACATCAACAATCTGTATCGTTAGTCAATGGATCTTTATCAAACACAATAGTCCAGGGAAAAATGTAACTTACCAGCTGCACAAGACCACCCGCCTGCAACCCCGTAAGCGCCTCCTTAGCCTCCTCATCCGCAGGCATCTGAACCCTCATACTACTCGGAATGCCACCCCCCACAGACACAGACCCCCCAATCCCAATATCCCTCCCCAAAGTCCCACTCCTCGCCTCCTCCTCAGCCCTCCTCACCAACTCCAACTCCCTCTCCTTATCACCCATCAAATCCTCACGGCTATACCCATTCCCGCCGCCCTTCCCACTCGTCTCCGCATCCCGCTCCTTCCAAGCATTCTCGCCGACAACCTCATCTTCCTCCGTAGCGAAGATGGTCGTTCCGAACTTCTCGCTGCCTAGTTCCCGGACGAGCGTGGCCCGCGTCGAGGCGAAGAGCGTCTTTGCGCGGACGGGTGCGTTGGAGGGGATGTAGGTCAGCGCGACGAGGGTGTTGTCATCGCGGCGGAGGAGCAGGTAGATCGGGGTTTGGGGTTTGAGGATGGTAGAGAGCTGCGAGAGCGAAGAGGTGAATGAGGACGAGGAGGAGATTGTGGGGAGGGGCGTTAGGCTTTCGGAGGTGATGGTGATAGGAAGACAGAAGAGGGAGGAGTCGGTGGTGAAGGTGTTGAAGGCGTCGTGGAGTTCGGGAGTGACTGCGTTGTTAGATTAGTATATCGTATATCTGTATAGAAGGGGAATGCCCACCAGAGATTCCGGACTGCATCTTGACGGCTCCTGACAGTCTGCAGTGCAGTGCAGTGTTATTCTGTCTCTGTGTCTGCGTGGTTGTCGGAGGTCAAGCGGTGAGGAGGAATCGGCGGGGTAAATATACCTCTGGGGATCTCAGGAGTTGAACTTGACACTTGTTCGGACACGAGTATCAACACCTGATACTAGCCTAATAGCAGAATCTATTGCTATTTGAATCAAATACTGCTTTATTGCTCCACTGAGAGTCCCAGCTGAGAATCGCTGACTACAGAAGTACAGTGAATCCAATATCCAAGTTGACCCTATGGTACACAAACAAGAAACGAAATATATACAAAATTGGATCTGATGCCTCTAAAACAAGCATATCCTCACAAACCGAGGCTCAATATATATGCAGTCAGATCGCAATCGAGAACGCCACCATGCTCAATGGTATCAAATGCTCGAAAGACACACCCACACCTTCATCATCTTTTCTTTTCTTTTCTTTTTTTTTTTTTTTTTTGCCCGTGATTTTTATTTCTTTATTTCATTCGATAAGGAGTAACCCGTTTACTCCTCATATGTGTTCCGCACAAGCGACCAATTCGACTTCTCCAGCCTCTCCTTCAGGTACTCATACACGGTGAAAGTGACGGCCTGGCCAGGAGCCACACGCATCACACGAGGGGTGATACCCTTGTAGAACGCTGAAGCACCCTCCGTCTTGAACATATCCTTGGCAATCACCAAGATACGACTCACAGCAGACTGCCCAGGCGTACCGGGGGTACGCTGGAGACGGGTCTTGATGGTGTCAATGGGGGCGTTGGAGAAGGGACCGACAGCACCGGAGACCAATCCGATCATGGTGGTCTGGTACGAGGGGAGCTGCGTGTTGCTGTATTCGGGCTGCACGCGCTGCAGGAGAGCCTTGAGCTCGGAGTAGGCCGTGAAGTTGGCAGCCTGGTTGGTTCCTTGTCGGAGGGCGGTTAGGGAGACACCGCGGTAGAGGACGCTGAAGCCTTCTTCCTTGATGACGGTGAAGAGGGCGTGGGGGGCGCTGCGGTACTTGGGGGCGTCGAGGGGGTCGGCAAGACTGTGGTGTTGGGCTTGCAGACGAATCTTGACGACTTCCATGGGGTTGACAATGGCCACGGCTTCCGTCACACCGGCGGCGAGACCAGCTAGAGTCGTCAGCACAGTTCACTTTATGAAAATGCGCGTGACCACTTACCAAGGAATGTGGATTTACTGGTGACATGACCAGTTTGCTTGTCTGCCAACAGCTGCTTGTACCATTCGTACGAAGTGAACCGGATGGCCATCTTGGGAATGATACCACCCAGCACAGCTCCGAGACCCTTGTACAGACCGAGCGCAGTCTCCTTCTTCACGATATCAACACCGGTAGTGACGAATCCGCGGGGTTTCGCCTACGCAAGGGATCTTTAGCATTGCCAATTGACAGAGATAGTCATGCAGCACTCACCCCAGGAGCCTTCGCCCGCCGCGAAAGCTGCATCCGGACCTTAATGGTATCTAAAGGATGGCAGACGAGAGCTTCCATCATACCGGCACCACCACCAGCTGTTATCCGTTAGCATGACGTCCATTGCTTGGATGCGCGGGGTATATCTACCGATCAAGTTTACGGCGGGGGAGGTTGGCTTCTTGCCAGGACCTCCCTGTGCGTTTTTTGCGGACATATTCAAGGTTGTGTATTATTCAATTGCGCAATTGCTTGCTTATGGAGCTCCGGAGCGCAGAGCTAGAAGTCGCGGGAATTGGAATGTCAGAATTCCAAGAGAAAAAGAACAAGTGACAAGAGACGGCAATGCCGATTGCGAACCGATCTCTTTTAGACAAGAATGAACAAAAAAAAAAAAAAAAAAAAAAAAAAAAAAA